AGTAATATTGACTAAGTAAATTTAATCCTTTAAATTCGAATAAACATTAAATATTAAGCAAATATTGCCGGTGCACAGCTCGCGAATACTATTGCAAAACCGCGCGAAATCGCAAATACGCGCAAACGCAAAGGCAAACGACATTCTTGCGCATGTGCGCGCGCACATGTTTCGTTTTCCAACCGCGCGCGCGCGCAACTTTTCAAACATTCGTCACAATTCGTCAACCGCAGCCTGTTCTTTCTCAATCGCATCTCTACTCCACTCAATTCCTCAGTTTGTCTCGATCGATTAACTCACAATTTGCATAATTACAGTATAAATCTCTCTAAATCCGGGGCGTCGCCATCTTGCTTTTTTTCAATTTTTTTTTCAAATCTTCATATTCTATTTGTTTTCCAATTGCAATTCGAGATCATCAATGGATGATGATACGTCGTGGTTGGAGTTAATCGTCGGTTGTGCTCCATTACGCTGAATATGATTTGCGGTTGTGCGCAAAAACCTCGAAAGCACGAAATTGTTAATACAGACACTGACCTAACCTAATTTGCGGGCGCACGCACAACGTGCAATCTACGCGCCTAATCACCGCGTAGAATTGCCCACAAATAGCCTACACTCTGAAATTAGCATCTCCTTAACCCGCCTTGCAGAATCAGTCATAACCTTAAACAAAATGGCGTCCGGTTGGGCAATGAAATACAAAATAAACACACATTCCACACGTGCTACTGGTGTAAACAGTTATTATCGATTAGCATTGCCCAATATTACATTCAGTTAACACAAAAACAATTTTTTTCTTTTTGAAATTTTGTCGTTAGATGGCGTTGTTTTGATTTTAGTTGGTTTTAGGTCGTTGAAGTTTAATATCAGTCGCGTGAAACACTTTCCATTTCTTTATTTTCTTGACTTTGTGCACACTTGCTACCGTTCACAAGTGCAAACCGGTGGAGAGTGACGTTAACGACCGACGTTTACCAATCGCACACACTTGGTTGTGGTTATTTCGTGTGTGCGTAGATATATCGCGTGCGAAGCGCACACTTGTAGCATTTTCGCGTTTTTCGCGTACAGCGCAGCGCGTCAAAGCGGCGGGATTGCGTGAGGCGCTGCGAAATTGTTTGCCAATCACGATTGAGTAATCGATTTGTGCGCGGCGCAGAGACTTGCTTGTTTGTATAACATAACCTATAAAATTTAGCCTAAAATAAGTTGGTTTTGATGGAAATTTGCATTGAAACTAAGTTTTTTGAAAGAAAAACTTAATATTTTGTTTGAATATTGTTGTTGGAGTAACTTTAATCAAGTGTAGGTGTATGTAAAGTTGCCTATATTAAATATTTTCTTAAATTTAATATTTTAAAACCAAAAAACCAAAAAAAAATGTTTTTCTCAATTTGCTAGACATCTAATCAAGTGCCACACAAAGTTATTGATGCATTTATCATACTTAACAATAATTTCCATTTAAATTTTGTAACAATACATAACCTTAAACAAGTATACATGCATATAAAGTTGCCTAATTAAATACTTTCCTAAATTTGAAATTTAATTTAATTTAAGGCGTAATTTTTGGCAAATCATTAACATTGTTGACATTGACTGTGCAAATATTGACACCACACTACGCAAATCCCAAAAATTTATTGTAAATGCAAATTGAAAGCACTTTAAATAAAGTTTTAAAAGCATTTCAACTCTATTACATACACCACGATGATGATGATTAACGCTCGCGAATAAGGAACGTGACATTGACATAGTAAACAACGCACCCGATCTATCCAAATATTCCAATCTCAATCTCAATGATCTTACCTATCACAATCTACGCTATAATTTATGTTCTGCGATTAGAATACGTCCACCACACGAAATTTTATTTTATGAAGTGTCGACATCTTTTTGTAGTTTTATTGCTACTGGTTTATTATTGCCTGTTAATAATAGTTTGCATCATATTTAATCACATTTAATATTGATAAAGTAAGTAGAAGTAAGTTGATCTAGATTTTTTGGTATTAACAAATAAAAAAAATTAAAATTAAAAATTAAAATTGTTGTTTTTTCTTTTTTTGGTTGTGTCCTCGATATTATTTGCAAATCGTGATAATATTTATATAAAAACTTGTTTTTTGGAGATGACCTTATATCTTCTTCCGTAGTTGAGTAAATAAACAATTTTTTGTATTGTTAATGTAAATTAACAAGGTTTATTACGTGTGTTACACTTTAAAGTGTTGAGAATCATCAAAATATTTGAATAATAATTTGCATTTTTAATATTTCATTTGAACATTTAATTTATACCGAGTGTTCAAGTTTAAATCCTGAAAATATTATTTTTTCTTGTTTTATTTTTATTAGGTTAATGAAACATGAATAAATTGTAAAACAAAACCAAGTCAAGTATCGAAGAGAGTAATTCAAATAGAAAACAATTGATAGTTAATAACAATATAATTTTCTTATTTTCCATATTGTTTTATTGTTTACAATCGTATGTAAATTCCAGCAATTAATGTGTAAACAAAAGAAAACAAGTGATTCGCACATTTTCTCCTATTTTCGTATTTTCCAACGTAATTTGAATTTTAAACGCCGTGGGCAATGATAATTCGATAAAGGTGATGATAATTTTATTCTACATATGATTTATGTAGGTAAGAATATCTTGAGAATCTTGTTAGTTGACAGACGGAAGTGTAGAAGAGTAACACACATACATAAACAGAATTACAGTAAATTATAGGTAATATAATTTAATGTCTTGATATCTTAAGAGGTGACAGCTAAAGTCATAAGTTAAAACTCCAGATTTTAAGATAAACTTAATTTAGATGATTTAATTACTGAGAATAAGAACAGTTCGGACAATACTGAAATATTTAAAAGTCGTAATTAACGGTTAAGTATTATTTCAAAATTTAAGTAAAACTAAAAATGTTCTTATGCATTTTCATTGTTTTGTTAAATTTAGATGCAAATTTGCACGTTTTTTTGCATTATTTCAGGATTTTTACTCTTACAACATCAAATTGTTCTTATTTACTGAATTACTCCATACCCGATGAGAACTATGTCAAAAACTGCACAAAAACGCAGTTTAAACCAAACTATTTCCATTTATTTTATATTTTTAAGTCACAACCTAACCTATATTACCAAAACCTATAATAACCTAACTTAAACCTTTATTTAAATACATTTTAATGACAATAGCTTTGTCACTTGGTTCCTCACTGATGTAATACCTACTTCAAAGCAATCCATCTAACATTTTCACTTTTTTTAATAACTTCCGAGGAATTTTTCACAACCGCGCTTTCGTTTTCGTCGCCAATGCTCGCACACAACGCAACGCAACTTGTTTGCGCATGCTCGTTAATTAACCATTTCAAACTTGATCTATTAACACATTTTTTGCCCATCCATTCCTCAAACACCATAATTGCCTGGCATTTTAATCGTTTCGCTAAATTATTAACAATTGCCATTAAAACCAATCAATTACAAACAAATAAAAACATTTTCGCACGTTTTTTGAATCACAAACATTAAAAACATTAAATATCATAAACTTTGATTGAATGCCTAATGTCATCACTATAGCAGAATGTAGTAATAACTTCTTATGAAACGTTTTTTTTTGCCTAGTCATGAATTAAAAATTGATTCGTGGTTCCGGGCGATTTCTTGCTCTCAAAAATTCGAAGCTTGCGGTGACATTGACACAGTAACCAAAGCGCACTTGTAATCCAATGACTAAACACTTTTTATATGAGTATGCATACCTTAAACAATTTTTTATAAATATATTTAAATATTGAATATTTAATTTTCAAATCGCGTGTCTGCTCGTGTTGCAATTATCAAAAAATTGCAAAAAATACAAAAAATATGTGGATTTTTAATTGTTTATTGTTCATTAATTTAATTTAAAGCAATAAAAAGACTACTGTGATTTATATTGATTAAAAAAATTATATGTAATTAATTTTTAACAATGAACAATTAAAAATTCATCAAAGAACAACAAATAAATTAAAAAAAAACAAAAACAAATAGTTCTAATTTATGCAACCAGTTATACATTTGTATATACTACAATAATTTTAACTAAAATCAAAGTCTAAATATTTTTTATACTCAAAAATAGTAATCCCCATGCTAAAAATACGAAATGTTTGCTAAAAACCCAAAAAAAGTGTGTAAAATTAAACAATGCATTCATAAAACACTAAAAAGCGTTACGTGACGACATATACTAATAAACATACGTAAAATTAGAAGCAATTACGACGATCTCCGACAGGTATTGTTATCCGCCTCGAAAAAATTTCTAAATCTATTTGTTTAAACTTTTTATTTGTTTATGACTGGTATTACCTAATCTCACACGCGGTCCAGCATAGAAAACCCGAAAATTTCAATAAATCTACCTAAAAACAAAGCAAAACGACTCAAAAACGACATTTGGCAATGTTTACATTGACGTAATTTTCTATTGCTAATTACACACAACACATCGCATAATTGATAATTGCCGGGTGTGAAATTGATATTGCAATCACAAACATATGTGATTCGTATCGAATCGCCGCGTATTGTTAATTGTTATGATTCGCGCATGGCGCAATATGCAAAATGTAACAATTACGATCGCGATTACACTTAATTACAACTCATTAATAGCCTAAACGCAACGATTGCTACATTTGTTTTTGTTTTTACATCATCATTAACAAAATATTAAAATGTCGTTAAATCTATTAATTGATAAAATATTAATAGTTGTAATTTATGCAACCAGTTATGCATTCTTACATGTATATAGGCAACTTGTATTTTTTGCATATTAATCGCGGAATTTTGTAACAAATTTCATTTCATTTTCAATCCGTGTAATTATCACGCGCCGCGAGCAATCATTTCACCATCGATCTGATCTGGAGCAGTGAATTTAAAAGTTTCAAAAACGTGTGACTTACCTTTAATTATATTCACTACGCACCTTTGCGACGAAAGAAACTTTAGTTTAGTTTAATATAAAGATAGAATAAACTTGAACACGCCGCACTTGTTGATCAATACGCGCACTATACTTTTGTGATGTGTGTTAATTTATTTATTTGCGCGAGACGAACGCAGCAGCGTAGCGATAAATAACTAGTGAGACACCTGCGAGCGGTGTGTGATCGAAGACGCGGCCGGGGGATTCGCCGATTGTTGTCTACCGCCCGGACCGCCGACATACGCGCATTTATAAACTGCACGCTGTCCCCACTTACCCGACACCACCCGACCACCCGACGAAGCCACTTCACATTGCATGGATTTTATTCTGCACGGCGGTTTTCTTGTGGATTTCGACAAAAAATCAGAGATATATGCATGCTGACAACTATAGGCAACCAGTGATACACCGAACTTTAACCTTACAGACGTAAATTAAGAGTTTTTACATTTTATGAGTTTAATATTTACCTTGATGTGTTACTGTAGGAGAATAATGTGTAATATCATCTGTGTGTGCGTTGAATCCACTTCATTTTGTATGTATTACATTCTGTACGATGATTTTTTTGTGATTTTGTACAAAATTTCACCAAAACCGAATCAGAGTGATTATATTCATGCTGAAAACTATAGGCAACCACTCATACACCAAACTTTAACCTAACAGACATAAATTAAGAGTTTTTATATTTTAAAAGTAAAATATTTACCTTGATATGTTACTGTAGCAGAATAACCTGTAATATTATCTGTCTGTGCGTTGAATCCACTTTATTTGCATGTATTTCATGCTGCATTTCTTCTCTTTTTGTGAATTTGTACAATATTTCACCAAAAACCAAATCAGAGACTATATCCAAGCTGAACACTATAGGCAACCACCAATACACCAAACTTTAACCTCATGAACATGATTCAAGATTTTTTAGGTATTAAAAGTTTAATATTTACCTTTGTCACTCTGTTACTATATGAAAGTAGTTTATAATACAAACTACGTGCGTAAATTTGCTAAAGCAAAGTGCAGGAGCCTCGGGTTGATGCAGGTAGCCAGCTGAACAGGAAAATCAGGATGCAGCGATGACCACACGACTAAAACACACCGCAAAACCGCAAGGTTATAACCTCTGAATGGTATGCAACCAACACTACAAAACACATCTCCTAAAATAATTATTTAATTCAAAATTTCACCATTTCCAATAAAATAATTCATGTTTTATTTATTTTTTTGATAATTTAAACGTATTTTTAGCATTTCTTTGGTTGTGTTAAAGGTTCAAGGCCACCTCAACCCAAATTCATAAAAATCACGAAAATATGATACCCGCCGAGTCAACGCCAAAGTCCAAACAGGTATTATGTATCTAATTGCGGTTTTTGGATATTCCATTCTTATTATTATTTGAGTTGTGAGCTAATCACGAATAACTCAGTGTTGTTAATAATTCATATTGTGTTTTATTGAGTTCAATGTTATTTCCATTTATTATTAACGCTCAACACTTAAGCGCTGAGCAAAAATAAAAAAAAATCGAATGTATCTTCAGGCTAGACAAGACAATAATTTGCAAAAGTAGTTAAGTGTAGCTAAGGTGAGCAGAAGTCTTCTTTTTTGTTCAAGATTCATGCCAGTCATGTTTAATTGATTAGTATAGCATCGCATTAGATGAAAAATACGAAACGGATTCAAAACTACTTAGAATATTCGAGAATTCATTTGATATACACGATGTTTCGGGCAAATTATGAGTAATAATTGATTAATATGAACTAACTTGGTAACTGATGATTGACATTGACGTAACTGTCAACTTATAGTGCAATAGAAGCGGAAAGTGCAAATGGTGCATATTTTTGATGACTGACGAAATGCAAATCGAGTATAAACAGTAAACAAATAAGGTGTGAAACCGCCGCACACAATATGCACATGGAAACAGACTTATATCAATGTATTTAATTTAATAATAACAACATACGAGTAGAACTAGTTGCAACTGTGTTACGCATGACGTCAAATGTAGGCAACTTGTTTTACGTGTTTGTTTTCAGCCAATTTTATAACCAAAATACAGAAAACTGTAATTTCTTCATTCAGCAATACAATTTCTCGATTATTTTTTGTAGTTTTGTGAAGTTTTCAGTAAAAAATGTGGAAACATACAAAATGTGAGTAAAATTAAAGTTTGTTGATGTTTGACAGTTGGAAAAACAAATTTCAAGGTCGTTTATGTCTTATTTAATAATTGTATTGTATTTACTTGTACTATAAATGACGTGAAATGTATGCAACCCATTTTACACTTCAATTTTCTAACCAAAATACAGAAACCTGTAATTTATCACTTTTAGCATCATTTTCATCAACCTTTTACACTTTATTATTAAATTTAACGTTAATAATATCATTATAACCTATAATATAATATTATTTTATTAATTTTTGATCCCCAGCCGACACTGATTGATATTGATGGCACTTAAAGACAGTAATTTATTCACACATTAACTGCACCATCCTAAAAGCCCAAAGTTATTCATATTTACCATTTTAAACGCTATAAAACCATATTTAATTATATTACTCCTCAACACTGCGTTATTTTTTGTTTTAATTTTTAATTTTTAATTTTTAATTCAACTAAACATGTTGAATCGGTTGTTTTGTTTATAAACAATTGTTTGCTTTCGTAATAAAAACAAGTTACCCACACGATGCGTCTAATATGAAAATATCCGTCTTGTTTGGTCGAAAAATTGTTGTTGTTTTGCGTTTCTACACGAAACGCACGCCGATCGGATCTCGCGCTGAGTTTTTTCTGTAGACGTCCAAAGTTCAACTCATGACAAATTTTGGCAACCAAACAAACCAAAGTGTACAAAACTACGAATTATATAATTACCAAAGAAAAAATTAACTTCACTAGTAATTAAATACATAAATTTGTTTTAGATGAGTTTTGTGAGCAAGGTTAAGCGATTTTACAATTTTACACACGATAACAATGAATATCCGCATTAATAATGCAATATAAATCAAAATATCCTACATAGGCAACCATATATACATTATGATGTACTTAAGGTTGCATTCTGTACATCAATACATCCCTACTATAATATTATAAATGCGAAAGTCCTGATGTTTGTTGCACTTTCACGCAAAAACTACTTAACCGATCATCATGAAAATTTGTACACATATTCTTAGTGGTCCCCGAATGGTTATAGGCTACTTTTTATTTAATAAAAAAAATAATTTTTTAAATAAAATAAAGAAATTGTTTAGCCAATAATACCTCTGCATCTGGCTATTTGACTACTTTAACGCCATCTAGCATTCCAGCAATGAAGCTCAAACCTAAGTACTATAGTACCATCACACTGTATTATCACACTGTATTACCGACAGCTACGTCAACATCAAATCCAATTGACTACACTATGGAGACTGTACACTATACTTTCATAGACTATACTTTCAGCCATTTTAAACTTCCCGCCATTCTACTTCATTGTTACTTCTTCTGTGACTGCAGACGCGTACGGAAGCAACTTCATTATTTTAGATATTCGCGAGCGAAGCCAAGGGTTAACGCTATTGCAATATAAATCAAAATATCACATATAGGCAACCAAATATACATTATGATGTACTTAAGGTTGCATCCTGTATATCAATACATTCTTTTAATAAATATACTTCAGTGATTTCTATTTGCCGAACGTCGCCTGCGATATTATTTAACATATATCGGCGTAATTGACCAACAAGTTAAGCGCAAACACGTCCATCCGTCGGTGGAGAAAAGAAAGTGTTCATCGCAGTTCGTCAATTTCAATTGTCATTTCACTTTCGGCGCTTACAAAAAAACACATCACTCTAAGCGTGCGCTAAACGATCGCATTATGTAAGCGATGATATTACGGGCATTCCTCGCATGCGTGAAAAGAGAAGAGATGAACATTAGCAATGGTAATTGCACCCGATGAGGCGACAAGTTTATTGTTTTCAACACACAGGCGCATGTGTCATATTGTCATGTCATAGGTATGATTATTCAATGTTTTATGCGCCATGTAACTCGGATGTGTCTTTCATTCAGTGTTCTAACCTTTAAAATCGTCATCGTAAACTTGTAAATTTGGTTGCCTAATTTTTTATGATTTTTTATGTCTGCGGAGTTTTATTTAATTTGTATTTATTATTATACTATAAACAATTACTGGGTAATTATATTAATCATTTTATTTTATTTTATTTAAAGAAATGATAATAATAATTAATAATATCATTATTACCTCTAATAATATATTAAATTATTGATTTATATCGGTTTAAATCATCAATAAACACAAAACTAGTTGCAACTTGTGCTGCAGATGTCGTCAAACGTATGCAACACAATTTACGCTTGAATTTTCCTACCGAAATTACAGAAAACTGTAATTTACGCATTGTAACAGTCAATTTCATTATTTATCATGTCAATAATATGATTTTTCTAAGTTTTAATGCATAATGTACTCTAATCTGTCTTTAATTCACTATCCTAACCTTAAAAATCCTAAAATTGTAAATTTGGTTGCCTAATTTTATTTTTTTAAATAATTTTTTTCTTGCTTTGTATTTAATTATTATTTATTATTATATTCAACTACCGGGTATTATATTATTATTAATAAAATTTAAATAAATTCAAAAATAACAAAAACGAGGAAACGAAACAAAAGTTGCAGACACTGTTGTCATTGGACTATACTCGTATACTCATAAAACAAAAAAGCCAAAATGAAGAAAACACGCAACATTCGAGTTTCGCCGAATTCTCACACCGAAAAAAACACAAAGATGCAACACACCACTTCACCGTAATCAAATTTACAACCTCGCTGAATAATTATTACGGATAACCCCAAATTTATAGTGCTCGTGCTATACACCGCGTGAATTTGACCTTTTCAAGGTTATGTATGCGTCGCGTGTGATTTATTCCATCTTTTATGTTTTATTTTTGCGTTAAGCTTCTCTTAATTATGTATATTACTTATATTACTGGCTGTATTTTATAATTCTTTCATTTGTATTTTTTATTTTTTTTATAAAAAATGTAGAAATACTAAAAGAAACATAAAAATAAAAAGCAAGTTTTAATTTTACCTTTCTTTGCCTGTGGTGGAAGTTCAACGCCTCGAAACTGCACGGAGAATGCAGTTTTCGAGGTTTTACTTTCGGGGTTTATTGCCTGTTGACATCTTTTGCGTCACGAATAATCTGGAATCAAATAAATTTGAAACAAAATAGTTTTAGGTAAAAAATGTTTAAATATACAATGTGTATGTGTAAAATATTGTCATTTTTAGTATTTGCCTGCTGGAAACACGTATTTCATGGTCGTTTAGGTTTTATTTAATGACTGCATTTAGTAAATTAAGAAGTTGTGCTTCAGATGACGTCAAATGTAGGCAACTTACTTCACGCGTTAATTTTTTGCTCGAATTACAGAAAACTGTAATTTATTGCTTTTGGCACCGCTTTAATAAAGCTTTTAACAAGTTATTCTAAAATGTAGCTATCAAAATGTCATTAATACGTGTAATAATGTATTATATTAGAGTTATCCGTCAAAAATGATGAATTATACAAAGTGTTTAGTATAGTTCTATGATTTTTGATGTTTCAAGTAGTTGCAACTTGTCTTAGCCTTAATTTTCGTACCAAAATACAGAAAACTGTAATTTATCCAATAATGACAACCTTTTTGATTTGTTTTTTAGAGGTTAGTTTAAAAAAAAATTTTAAATATCATTATAACCTGTATTTTTATATTATACAAGCTTTAACCCGCGGCTTCGCTCGCGAATATCTAAAATAATGAAGTTGCTTCCGTACGCAACTGTTGTCACAGAAGAAGTAACAATGAAGTAGAATGGCGGGAAGTTTAAAATGGCTGAAAGTATAGTCTATGGAAGTATAGTGTACAGTCTCCATAGTGTAGTCAATTGGATTTGATGTTGACGTAGCTGTCGGTAATACAGTGTGATAATACAGTGTGATGGTACTATAGTACTTAGGTTTGAGCTTCATTGCTGGAATGCTAGATGGCGTTAAAGTAGTCAAATAGCCAGATGCAGAGGTATTATTGGCTAAACTATTTCTTTATTTTATTTCAAAAATAATTATTTTTATTAAATAAAAAGTAGCCCATAACCATTCGGGGACCACTAAGAATATGTGTACAAATTTTCATAATGATGTGTTAAGTAGTTTTTGCGTGAAAGTGTAACAAACAACAGGACTTTCGCATTTATAATATTAAGTAGGGATTACAGTTTGAAGTCAAAAATTTTGGAAAAACGCATTTCAAGGTCGTTTATTGCTTATTTAATAATTGCATTTAATAGATACGTAAATAATGTGGGAATTTCTTAACAATTTCGTCAACTGCACTCAACACTGTCATTATTAGCTCTGAACTAGAGTCCTATGTAATTCCAACACAAACAATTACATACCAAGTGTTTAGAAAATTAAGTTTTCTTTAAAAAATGCTATTTTTAACTTTATTTATATATTTTCACTACTAAACACGCTGTATAATTAATATTACGTTAATATTGATCGCTAAAACTGTTTGCTTTGAAATATTACCGAAATATTTCAATATTTACATAATTCTTAAATTTAATTGTTGTGGGTATAATTAGGTCATGCCAAATCAAAATAAATTTCAATAAATTTTGCATCTCACCCATTGGAATTTACGCGACGTTGATGTCGATGTTGTTGTGTTGTGTTGTGCTGCAGCGAGTAAACTCCACTGCATAATTCGAGGGTCGGTCGGTTTTGTTTTTTGCACCTCGCGCGATCATTTAACGAAATTCTCTATTTTACACTCCGCAGTGCTGTGTTCGACTAGAAATTTAACTTGTCATGCTGTCATTCACGGTCGACAGCAAGATGTAAGAAGCGTAAGAGATATACGAAGATAAAGATAGACACGGTGTCTTATTTATGGCTGTGTTAACTTATAAACAAAATGCACGTTTTGTTAAAAGGCAATGTTTCCGCCCGGGATCGAACCGGGGACCTTGTGCGTGTGAAGCACACGTGATAACCACTACACTACGAAAACGATGAACATCGTATTTCTATATTACTAAGATCAACTAAAATCTGTTTTTATATAATAAATAATAATTAATATTGTGTATTTTACACTTATTTACTTAAATTTACTTGTTTGGTAAAAGATTCCAACAGTTTTGATGGTTTTTAGCCAATTTTTACTATATTTTTGATAATTTATGGAACACGTAGCGTCACCTAGCGGGAATCTTACTTAGCAATACTTGAATATTCAACCTTATGATATCTTTCTTCTAAGACCTTGCAAACTTGAGATTCTTATATTTTACTCAATCTTAGGACCCCTAGCTCCACCTATTGGTTATTTATGTAAACTTGAAGCAAACATTCAAAACAAGCGAGCATGAGTTATCTTTAACCTGAAATATTATGTAGAAATTGTTTCTGAATCAACAAATACCAGAGAAAATGTTTAACTTGAGTAGGAATTGTAATAAATTAGTAACAATATGCAAATTGTCCTCTTGCAACTATACAATATTCACTAAACTACCAAAGAAACTCGTTGAAACACAAAATGTTACTAAAAATCTTCCATTATTACAATTTCCTCCAAAAATAAGATTCTACTGTTCTTCTGAATCTGATATTCATACACTGAGTAAGTTTATAAATGTATTTATATATTAATATCACTAATATAATATATTTTTAGCTGATGAAGAAATAACTGAAATAACAGGAGGAGATGAAGACCAAATCCACAAACTAAAAGTTCTTTTACTAGAAACCGAAGTCCTAAGACAAGAAGGAAAACCAGTGCCTTCACCAGCCAAAATGAAAGTAGAACACTGGAAAGAGCTGCTCTCGAAAGAAACACGCACCGGCCGCCGAAAATACCTCGACTTTTTATTCAAAATAGAAAAAATCAAGGAAAACAGAATCATAAAGAAGCAACAGAAACAATTAGAAAGAAAAGAACGACCGCCAATTGAACAAGAACAAGAAGGTGCAATCAGATATGATCTGGGTCACAATCACATGTTCCTTAGGTTTTATGATTCCACAATGAACAATATGTACAATGCTAAACTCATCAGAGCGATGCAATTCAGTCAGAAAATTGTCATTGACTGCGGATATCATGAACACATGACCAAAAGAGAGAATATCAATTGTGCAAAACAATTAATGTTACTATTTGCAGAAAATAGAGCACATGACGGTAATATTTATTCAATTTTCTTACCAAAATTATGAATTTTATTAACAAAAGTTGTTTTTGTGTGTTTATAGATCCGTTTGACATCCACTACTGCAACTTAAAGAAAGATGCAGAGTTGGAAGACTACATGCACCGATTCATCCCGACAATGTACGATCCAGAGTTTCCTCTCAATGCGCATGAGTCAAGTTATTTAGATTTATTCCCCAAAGAAAATCTCGTATACTTAACACCGCATTGCCGACAAGAACTGACAGAGTTTGATCATGATGCGACCTACATTATCGGCGGGATAGTCGACAAAATCAACAACGAGCCTGTTTCCATGGCGAAAGCCAAACGCGAAGGTTTAAAAATGGCTAAATTACCATTAGACCAATACTTACACTGGGGAAGCGGTTCGGGTAAATCACTAACCTTAAATCAAGTTTTATCCATCATGTTAGACATACGCATGACAGGCGATTGGAATCATGCCCTCCGCCATGTTCCCAAACGTAAAATAATGCAAGATGATGAATTCGCTATGATTAACCAAAGAAAAAACCCCTGGCAAAGCTCACGTGAAAGAAATTACACACAACAATCTGTAAGTAATAATTACAACAGAAAAACACCACCTGGCGACCAAATCGCACCGTAGACAACCCCAGAAAAACAATGAACGTTTAGTCCACTTAAAAAATATATTACAAGATTAACCAGCTGTTAATTACTTAATTTACCAAAGAAAGACACAATCGCCGCCATACCATGCGACCAAATCTTCCAACGCTCCTCAAACATCTCATAAGCCTTACGTTTCTGAAACTGATTCATCGAACTATGTCCGATTGAATTCAACGCGGCGGCTTTCAAAAACTCCGGACCTTCATCAACTTGCGTGAGTGCCATGTACGCTTCATAAAAATCAAAAGTAAGTCCAGTATTACCAAACGCAGTCGGGTCATCATTACATATAACCAGGGGAATCCCAAACCGCGCATACAACACCGCTGGATGCGCACGTAGGTCATTCACATACCCCAACACTTGATTCGACACAGGCGCCACCTCGACGGCGATTTTACGATCACGCACCAAACGCATCAACTCTGGATGTTTAGCCAGGGATAACCCATGTCCAATCCTCGATGAACCCAATAGAATAGCATCTAATAGATTTTGATCACTCTCAGTGCCGTGCCAATTCGTCTCACCAGCGTGGAAATAAAATTTGATGTCTTTATGTACGCGTTGGAGTAGTTCCACGCGTTGCCGCAGTGTACCGCCAGCGTCTTCATGTCCCACAAGGTCAAAACCAGCGATGAGGTGTGGAAACTTCCGATGCGCTTCACGTAATAACTTCAGGGAATCCTGGAAGTCTTCATCGGTTAATTTACGATACGGAGCAAAAATATACCGTGCACCAATGAATGTTTCATTGTGCGTTGTTGTAAACGTTGAAATGACATCGGACATGATTTGCAGAGACTTCATAGCGTCATATTTCACTCCGTCAAGTTCATACAACTCCATGAAGGTCCCACGTAACTCAACATAGATAATATTATCATCTACGAGCTCCTGAAGGGTTTGTTTCAAGTATTTTTCAAATGCCGGACGATATGTCAACATATCATACAGTGTAGTGAATATCCCGCTTAATTTCGTCCATTTTTTACTTTTACTATTAATTTCAGGCGTGTTTGTTATCATTAATTGATCCAATAACCATTTATCAAACACTTTCGCGCTTTGTACTTGTCTTTTGTCTGATAACAACTCACAGAGACCAAAATCTTCCGCGCATTTCTCTGCGTCGCTTGTATTCATGAATTTTAACTTCAATTTACCATTCCATGTGTACATATACAGATTCTTCATGTAACTCAACTCCTTGACGATGTATTCAGCGCTAGTTGCAGCTAGAATATGTGTGTGTAGTGATGCTCCCTTAGGCATGGCACGTAAAAATGTAAACAGTGATGAACTAGAGATGTTTTCTTTGACACTGATGAAATCCTGCGCCGGGAGGAATAAATCCTCGTTGAAATCGTGATATTCTTGCGTTTTGAACTTCTTCATCACGGCGATCATCATCTCCTCGTCTTTGGTGAGTGTAATCGATCCGGACATCGAGCGCACATCTTCGTTTTGATGATTTGCGCACGTTCCGCTTCGTATTTCGCAGTGTTTACATGCGACGCCATTGAAAGCAAGAGAAAGACTGGTAGGAATTTATGTGAAACCCATTTGGGTAGCGGTAGTCCCCTTGCGGGAATATCACGCATTTTAACAGGTAGGGGAACAGATCGGATAAAATTACACGAAATTTGACAACAGATCTCAATGGATGTTGCGTTACAACTGATTTTAAGTAATATTACTCAGTAATATTCTCTGAATTGACCTTTGACTCTTGATAATCATATTAACGAGCGTTCTATATTCGTGACAAAGGATTTATGTAAATGAAGTGAATCAATATGTTTGCTTAGCATAGATAATAGACTTTTATCTGTACATTCCGGATGATGACACTGGAAATAAAATATTAATTCCTCCTGCGTCGTACACGCGATATTCTCCATGCGTTCGGCTCCTCGTATTTATTATACAGCGGTTCAAGTCGTTGATTCTTCTTGAATTTACTTAGTTTTGTCGGATCGGAGAACTTGAAGAACGCAGGCGCATACTCCACCAGCCATTTTGGATCAATGGCGGTGACTTCACGCATGTATTCCTTTGTAGTCTGTACTAACTCATGATATATCACCCATTCTGGCTGGCGATTGAAAAGCGCGCTTGATGGATGAATATAAACTACTTGACTGTCAACTAGGGTTCTGTAACCTTCCTGTGGGTCTTTTTAGCTGCGTTTCGGAAGAAGCCGGAACAAACTGCTTTCTGGACGCGTACGGTGTTCTTCTCAGCGGAAACCACGTCGAGTTTATGTCTGTCCATTATACCTAACAATTGTTTACGTACGTCTTGAGCGCGTTTTAATGTGCGGATTTGAACGAAATTCTCGTAACACCATGCGTTGGAGAATTTGTTGTTTTTCCAGCTGTTGTAGACGGCTAGTAATGTGAGATGGTCGCCTTCGGCCTGGTTGAACTTTGCTTTCTTTTGGTCGGCGATCGCTTGTTTGTCTTTGGGACGGTAGAAGACATTCTGCACGGATAACATACTTACAATCGTGAGAATCTCGTCGGAACATTGGAGTGCCACGGACATGATCAGCATCTTTGAGAGGTTAGGTTCTAGAGGAAATTCTGCCATCTATAAATAAAAACAAGACAAAGTTAGGTTAATTGTCGGTAAAAATCAGTCTAAAACAGCATAATTCTTAATAATAAACGAAATTGAATGTAATTTTTATAAAATGGCCGCCATTATTTAGAAAACTTAATGAAAATCATTAAAATTATATGTTTTTGAAGCAAAACATGGATTTTTATACTTAAATTTGGATTTTAAAATTTCTAAACTACTTAATCTTTAATTTCTAACAAAACTAACCTAAAATGTTACATTTCAATGTACGTACCACGTGTACATAGCAAAAAACACTCAAAACCGACATAATTCTTAATTATTTAGGAAATTGACTTGAATTTCTACAAAATGGCGGCCATAATTTAGAAAACTAAATAAAAACTACTAAAATTTCACGTTTTCTGAAGTTAAACACAGATTTCTATGCTTAAATCAACGTTTTAAACCTACCAAAACACCTAATCTTTAATTTTTAACCTCTCTAACCTACCTAACCTAGAAAATCACAATTGTATATCTTACCCTTCGTCCTAGACGTGTCAAAAGTCCCTCATCATCCAAAGCAGACAGCGAATGCAGATTCTCCAACGCCATTATAAGTGACTCCACAGGTGGCGCATCCATGAAATCAAAATGTAGCAAATCATTGATCCCCATCGTCTTCAACTGCAACACAGTAGCCGCTAAATTCGTCCTCTGAATCTCCGGAACAGGCGTAGGCAACATTTCATCCCTATACGCCCTTTCCGTATACAATCTATAACATTTTCCTGGACCTGTCCTCCCAGCTCTCCCACACCTCTGCTTCGCCTGCGCTTGTGATATAGGTGTCACCACCAACGAATCCATACCAGTCTTAGAATTATAAACCTTCTGCTTAACAAAACCAGGATCAACAACGTAAAAAATCCCATCGATAGTCAACGAAGTTTCTGCAATATTAGTAGCAATGACAACTTTCCTACTTCCAGGCGGGGCAGGTTCAAAGATCCTTGTCTGCATCTCGGAAGGCAACGCAGAATAAACCGGAAGTATGATGAGTTCAGGCACATCCGGTCCCAGACTCTTCATACGTTCGTATAAAATCTCACAAGCAGTGTCAATCTCCTCCTGACCAGTCAAAAACAACAAAACATCACCTGGTGGCTCCCGCAGGTGAATCTGCATGACAGTTATAAGACTAGCATCCAAATAATCAGTCTCAGGTTCTTTTGTATACAAAACCTCAACCGGAAACGTTCTACCAGGAATAGTAAAGATGGGAGCTTCGAAAAAGTACTGAGAAAACTTCACAGCGTCCAAAGTAGCTGAAGTTACAATCAATTTCAACTCTGGACGTTTCGTCACTGCTTGTTTCAACAAACCAAACAAAACATCCGTGTGAATTGTCCGTTCGTGCGCCTCATCCAACATAATCACCGAATAACTCTTCAAATCAAGATCCATTAAACATTCTCTCAACAACATACCATCCGTCATGTATTTTATAAGTGTTTCCGACGATGTGCAGTCTTCAAATCGGATGGTATAACCTACTTCTTGACCTAACCTACAACCAAACTCTTCTGCAACCCGCTTGGCGACAGACATAGCCGCAACTCTCCTTGGTTGTGTACAGCCAATCTTCCCACGTGAGGTTAGACCCGCCTCGGCTAAATACTGCGTGATTTGCGTTGTTTTACCCGAACCAGTCTCTCCAATCACGATTAATATCTGATTATTCGTCACGGCTTGGATTAATTCATCGCGTAACTTATATATGGGTAGTGATTCACGTTGTTCGATAATAGTGAGGTTAGTTTTCTTACCGAACGATGATTTTTTACCTCCGATAACATGTTTTTTCCATTCTGGGAGATCTTGTGATTGTAAACCAATTCCGCGGATGTTTGCAGTGGATGCTTTGGATTCATCCTCAGGTAATGGATCGATCCAATTCTTTCCTTTGCCTGTTTGGTGTTGATCAACCTCCGCTTCGCGTTGGATCATTTTTAACTCACGGCGTTCTTTCGCGAGTGCCGATTGCATCATGGCGGCTTGCGCTAGACTCCCATCGGGGTTTTTGACAATTCTGACAGGGCTTAGGTCATGCATAGCGCGGCCATGACCATGCAAAAATGGCGGCTCTTCTTCTACTAACTCGATTTCAATATCTGCTTCACCTCCGTCTTCATCTTTGGGTAACAAACCTGTTTCATCATCAAAATCAGGCAGTTCACTTTTATCTATGCAACCAGACGATATCATCTGTTTGATTTCCCAGCGTTCAGGGCTGGATATACGCGTAACGCGCTTGCGCGAATCCTCCTCAGATTCGTCGTTGTTTACTGGTAGGCGTAGAACTGATGTGCTGTTGTACATAGGCCGGTCTGGATTGCGATCCTGGTCGTCACGTTCACGTTGACTTGGATGCGAAGTAGGGTTAAGGTCTCTTCCGGTGTTCTGATCGACGTCTTTCATGGAAAGTGAGACTTTTTGCCCGGTTACAGATAAGACTTTTATTTTTACTTTGTTTCCGCGTGCGACTACTTCGGACACGTTGGTGACGCGTCCTTCTGCGCGTAGTTGTGAAATGTGTACTAAACCTTCCCAGCGCTTGCGCAGACCTTCCATTTGCACAAAACAACCGAATGGGACTATGTTAGCTACTTTACCGGTGTAGATCTTTCCGGGGACTGGATCATCGTCCATTTCATGTTCTTCACTTCGGTTGCGTCGTTTTTGGTCGCGGTCTGAGCGTTCTGCGCGTGCGCGATCATTACGACGGCTTCTATCGCGTGATCTTGACCGATCACGATGTCTTGAGCGTGAATTTGATCGATCGCGGGATTTATTTCTGTTTCTACTTCTTCCGCTGTCTCTATTTCGTGATCTGGATCTTCTGTGGCGGGATCTACTTCCACTTCGGCTTCTGTTTCGTCTGCTTCTTCCTTTACTTCTACTTCTGCTGCGATTTCTTCTGTCTTGTCTTTTGTGTTTGTCTGGACTTCTTGATTTTGACCTTTGGCGCTTTGTTGGTTTACTACCGGGTGCTGCAGCTTCGAATTGTGCCATTAAATCAGCTACTACATCAGTATCCACTGCTTTTTCTTTTTCTTCTTCTTCGATTTCTTGATAAAGTGGTTTTTGTGGTTCATTTGGAATTGCAAGCCCAGGGAATTTTTCTGTGAGCACATCTTGTTTGGATATTAGTTTGCCTGATAGTCCAGATGCTTTGGATAAGGCTGGTTTCATGTGTTGAATTATACGAAGAAGATTTGTGATGAATGAATCGGAGAATTCAGCTCCATTTTCAGCTAGGACGCGTTTGAATGCTTCTTGTTCCGGGTTTTTCTCAGCAAGATGTATTATAAATTCAGCTGGAACAGTTATATGATAATTAGTATAATGTTATTTGGTTTTGTTTGTTGATTAAGATGTAAAAATCTTACCTAAATCTTTGTCATTCATTCCCAAGTGATTTTCTAATTCTGTACATATTTTTGAGACCAGGGAAAGGTGCTCCAACTTCTGTACTTCGTCCATTGTTATATTAATAATAAAATAATTATATCTAATGGTTTAATAATACAATTCACTTATGAGTTATTTATCGCAGAATAAACGTTTGTGTTTTATACGTATTCTGCGGTTATGTTTTGTAGCATAACTTGCGCATGTTGTGTAGGGGTATTATAACATAGGCAACCAATAATGCACAAATTAATATTTAGTTGATGCCCAACCAAAGAAAATATTTAAATGTTTAAATAAATAAGAAGTAAAACATGTAAATACGTTTAAAATATAATAATACAATCTATATGTGTTTATTATATTTATATGTTTAATGGGTTGCACATAAAAACAAAGAATTAACAATTTCTTTCATAAAATTTGGAAATTTTTGTGTTTTAAAGTTCTGGAAACATAAAATATTAATCATACTTGAATTAAACCATAACACGCATTTCTCGGTATATAACTTTAATTAAAATATTGATTGGATAATGTTTTCGTTCACTTTAATAATGATTAAACGCACGGCAGCGTATAATTAATTACGACTTATCAACGCAAAAAGTGCAACGTGTAACGGAACAACTCCAGAATCGGCTGCAATTTTATAACACGCTTTAAAGGCAACGAAAATTGTTAATTAAACGAGTTATATGTATAAATGTGTATGTATTTTAATGTTTACTCACTGAATTACGCATTGTTTACAACAATACGTCAAAAAGGGACGGTTTAGATTATTTTAACCGCGCACACGCTTATAATTAAACAAATATTTATTATTAGATAATTATGAAGTATATTCAGGTGATATACAGGGTGTATAGTAATAAAAAACAAAGAACATCAATTAAAATTGTTTAAAATCGTATTTTTTCATAGTGTTTTGATAAAAATTATAAATTTAGAAGTATTATTATCATTAACAACTCAAATTTTATGTAAATAATAATAATTTCCTTTGAAATTAAAATTTTAAGATATTTTAGGTGTTATACAGGTTGCAGACTAAGAAAAACCAATAAATTCAATAAAAAATTGACTAAAACTTAAAATTTTCGTAATTTTTTCATGAATTTTCTTAATCAAAACAAAATTATATAATTACTAGCTTCCGTACGCGCTTCCGTACGCGTCTGTAGTCACAGAAGAAGTAACAATGAAGTAGAATGGCGGGAAGTTTAAAATGGCTGAAAGTATAGCCTATGGAAGTATAGTGTACAGTCTCCATAGTGTAGTCAATTGGATTTGATGTTGACGTAGCTGTCGGTAATACAGTGTGATAATACAGTGTGATGGTACTATAGTACTTAGGTTTGAGCTTCATTGCTGGAATGCTAGATGGCGTTAAAGTAGTCAAATAGCCAGATGCATTTTATTAAATAAAAAGTAGCCTATAACCATTCGGGGACCACTAAGAATATGTGTACAAATTTTCATGATGATCGGTTAAGTAGGTTTTGCGGGAAAGTGTAACAAACATCAGGACTCAGGTATCAACTAAAAACAGCTTCTAACAATAATTAAAATGCAAATAATTATAATAACACCTTCAAATTAACATTTTGAGATGTTTCCAGGTGTTAAACTGGTTGCATAGTCAAAAAAACAAGTAACTTCACAAAAAATCACAATTTCGCATATTTTTTTTAATGAAAATCATAAACCACGACGTAATATTATTACTAACAGCTAAACACAGCTTCAACAAAGTAATTAAAAGATGCTAATCAACGATTTAATAAGCGGTAATGCAAATAATCCTTATTACATCTTCATCCACACATGCCACGCATGCGCATCACATTCGAATGATTTTTATTCACATTTAACTCAATATTGTTTGAAACTTTGTCTTTCTCGATCCACGCCATTCGTCGTACATCCCCCCACCACATTTTCACCTCTTCATTCGATGCGCGTTCATTGCCGAGGCCGTTGAACCGATTTCGCTCATTCTTCTTCAATTCACATCAACTTCGCCATCATCTTTAATAATTCCACGCATAATTTACCAAAATTATATCAAAACCTACTAAATATTAACATATTCCATAATATTTCTTAAGAAAAACAAGTTTAAACCTTTGAAAAATAAATTTTGACCCTCCAAGCCCAAATTACATCGTAATCCGCTTAAAATGATAACACCTTACACCCAATGTAAGTCAGGGCTGTCCAGGTAGTATAAAGATAGCGGTGCGATAGTCACCAGGTCTGCTGGTCAAGTAAATGTACCGTTAGAACGCCTTCCGACGTGTTCCACCGCAGCACAGGTACGCGTCTTCAGTAAGTAAAGCGGCTGCAGTCTAGAGCGTCGGCGCGTCCGGGTAAGTTAGAAGCGCATACGTGGTACGCCGTCGTTCGTGCGAGTGTGAAACTTACCACAACGTCGCGGTACGTCGCGAGGGTAAATAGATCGCGAGATTCGCTCAGTGCGGCGCAGTTTTTCGGCCGACGTCGACCTCATCTCATCCCGCACAAGTTGTACTATCATGTGATCATATCACAATTTAAATTCTTACGTTTATCAGTGAATTAAACAAAAACTTGAATTTTTAACGTTTTTATGAGAAAAACTGTGATTTTTGGATATTTTATTGAGAGTAAGTTAATTTTTCTTCATTAAATTAATAATTATTTGAATATTTTAATGTTTTTTATAATTTACACGTGGAAATATTAATTTTTTACGTTTTAAACATTTTTAAATGTTTTTAAGTGAAATCAATACAATTTATTGCATTTTTAGTCATTGAAAAGTCAAAAAATAAGTTTTACTTGTTATCTACATGTTGGCATTCCGGTATTACATTCGTTGTTATTGTTTACCACGCAAAACACTCATTTAAAATGATTTCAGCGCTTGTGTAATTCACAAAACGGACGATTTTTATTTTTATATTGCGAATAACAGCAATTACATCAACGTGTTTAAATATATTCGTAGATAAACGTGTGCGCAATTAAAAAGTCATGCTTTATGAATGTTTAAATCGCTGTAGAATAAACGGTAGTTCGTTTAAAAATCAGGTTTTGTGCTTGGTTCATAGAACTATCTCCGTTAAATAAATTCTAGAAGATTTTTTACTTATAATTTGAGTTTTTTCAAGTTTATTTTAATTTTTAAGGTAGGCAACCAATGATACACTGAAATTTAATATTAATATTACGTATTTCTTTGATTTTTAAGGTTATTTAGGTTTAAATAATTAGTTTTAATATTATTTAACAGATTTTACACTTATTTGATAAAATTTTAGAAGATTTAACCTGAATTTTTACATTCAGTTGTATATTAAAGTATATAGGCAACCAATAATGCACTGAAGTGTAATAACGGTTTATTAATTAAATTTAATGATTGTGATTCATGTTTAACTTGAGTTTTACATTGAGTTTATATGATTGTGAGTTCAAGTTCATTGACACACACCTTGCGAGGACGCGCGGCGCGAAGAATTCGTTCGTTTGTAAATTTATTTAGCGACCTGTTAAAAACCTCCGCGCCAAGCTCCAAATGTTTACCAAAACCGCTTTAAACGCATCGCACGGCTTCCTGTGGTTCCAAAACCATTCAAAAACATGTTTAGAAACATAATCCCAATCAATTCCGACATTTTATTAACTAGATTAAACTCGAATACATTAATTAAACACGTTTTTTCTTCATTTCCGTTGATCTCTAAACTTTTTCACGAAAACAAAATGGCCGCTGTGAAAAAAATAAAAAAACCTGCAACAAATAAGGAAATAGCAGGTTGCGAACGCAAATGGCAGTTAATTATCTCCATTCATCCTAATGACACTCCGCAATGGCTCAACCGACGCCATTTTGCTTATATTGTTCCTCGCGTGCCGTTGCAAATCTATTCGACACGTTAATTATACTAATAATGGCGTTTGACAGTTATACGAAGACATCTGTAACACACGCACTCATGCGATGTCGTTTTTTCCAGCCAATTTCACTCCGCAACCGCGCACCAACGAGGAAACAAAATGGCGAATCGTTTTCTAGTCACACTCGTCACGGCGTGCCTATTTCTGCAACCCAGTTTACAAGGCGTGGAGGACAACCAGATCGACAGCGATAAATTCAACGCGTTCGCGGAAGTCGCCGGCGCCATGTTGAGTCAATCGGGCGGAAGTGGTGACAACAATGTCGGAGATATCGCCGGAATGATTGGGTCATTCATGTCGTCCGATGGTGGGAAACAAGTTGGGGATATGTTGATGAATGGTAACGGCGCCATGTTACTCCAGGGTTTAGCAGGGATGATGGCGCAAGGAGGTGGGGCAGGTGGCGCTGGCGGCGGGATGGACCTAGGTATGCTTGCGAATGTTGTTAGTGCATTCAGTCAAGCTGGAGGAGACGGAAAGGAAGGCGGATCAGGGGTTTTAATTGGAACAGTGCAGGAGATTTGCTTAGTAGTTTCATGGGTCAAGATGGGTCTAAGGATTTCATGTCTTATTTACCTACGTTGATGAATCTGTATGAGGTTATGACAGGGCCTGTTGCTGATCGTACAGCGAAGGAACACGCTGGGCATTCGTGGATGCTGCCACCTATACTTGAAAAGTTGCATATTTTGGCTGATCAATTGATGAATTCTGATCTGGGGAGAGATGTCGCTGCGAAGTTGGGTGCTGAGAAGTTTATGAAGATATTTTCGACTCCTGATGGTAAATTCAGCTACAGGAAGTTTGTGGATATGATGGAGAATCATTCCTTTAGAAGACATTGGATTCAGATGGTTACAGGACGCATTGGGGAGTTTTTGACGTATTTTGCTGATCCGTACACGCAGAAAAAGTAGGCAACTTTATTAACACACATGAAATTTTAATTTTTACATGTTTTTTCTTTTATTTATGTTTTAGGACTGTTGCTACCGTGCAATTCTTCATGAATAACTTCTTGAAGAGTTATGGAATACCTAAACATGCTTTGTTTGACCCGACGAGGCCTGCGGAGACTTTGACAGCGTTGGCGAATTATTTACCGAAGAGATATATTGGTATCAAGTTTAATTCAGCGCCGTATATTGTCCCAGCGGTGAATTATGTTCAGGTAATGCTTTATTTATTTTATTTTTTGTAATTTTGTTTGTTTTACCTTGAAATTAAGTGAAAAGTTGGTTTTATTGACCTCATTTTTTGTATGATAAAAATAAGTGTTTGACGCCATTTTATGTGTTTAGGATTTGTTGCGACTGGCGGAGAACAAAGGGATTTTGGGCAGAGCGTGGAATGCTAATGAGTTGACAGCGAAGTTAACAGACACGATTAATTTGGAGATGATTGAACCTTTGGCGCGTGTTAATCGTGCGATTAGGTTCGCGAAGAAGGCGCCACATTGCACAAGGTAATAACTAAAAATAACTTAAAATAACTTAAAACAACCCAAAATATAAATTAACTAGCTTTAACCCTTGGCTTCGCTCGCGAATATCTAAAATAATGAAGTTGCTTCCGTACGCGTCTGTAGTCACAGAAGAAGTAACAATGAAGTAGAATGGCGGGAAGTTTAAAATGGCTGAAAGTATAGCCTATGGAAGTATAGTGTACAGTCTCCATAGTGTAGTCAATTGGATTTGATGTTGACGTAGCTGTCGGTAATACAGTGTGATAATACAGTGTGATGGTACTATAGTACTTAGGTTTGAGCTTCATTGCTGGAATGCTAGATGGCGTTAAAGTAGTCAAATAGCCAGATGCAGAGATATTATTGGCTAAACTATTTCTTTATTTTATTTTAAAAATATTTTTTTTAATTAAATAAAAAGTAGCCTATAACCATTCGGGGACCACTAAGAATATGTGTACAAATTTTCATGATGATCGGTTAAGCAGTTTTTGCGTGAAAGTGTAACAAACATCAGGACTTTCGCATTTATAAATATTTTTTGTTTATTTTATTGTAGATATGTATTGTGTGTTGCCAATCAACATGAACCCGATGAAATGTTGAGTCTTCCTGGTTTGAAGAAAGCGCTAGCGACGTCGGCAACCTTCGGTGCAAGTTGGTTACTCAGCGGACATGACAAGACGCCATTTTGGACTGTTTATGGCATGGTACAAGAAGGAAAAGATTGTGAAGTATGCATTTTAACTCTAACCTAAAAATACAACGTAATATTATCATTAATTTTATCTTTCAGAGCTTTTTCAAAGAAGAATGTCATGAATTCCACATTGAAGAAGAAAAAGTGACGACTGAGTATGTGCACAACGAATTATAAGAATCATCATCCGATAAGTCTTTTATTCTTTTCAACGTCTAATATAAGCGTCTTTATTTTGCTCATTGGATATGCGCATTTCCATTTCTAACCTATAAAAACATATCCAACGAGCGAATCTTTTTTATTTTATTCTTGTGTGCAACTACTGAGACAAGTTGTGCGGTTTTTATTGTCCTTGATTTTAATTTTTAACGCGTGTATTATAAAGTATGATAAGACAATAACAATAAGTCCATACCATTGCTGTTAAGGATAATATATGAAATGAATTTGTGAATTTATGTATGAAATGAGATGAGGAAGAAATATATTAGATAACTACGGATTCTTTAGGGTGTAAAGCATCTATTTCTTAGAATATGGAACAGAGGACTAATAATGGGAGAAGATGGGGGGGAGGGGCTTAGAAACCTGCGACTGGACTGCTGGACGACTTAGACACGACTGGGCACGCGGTGCATTGTGTACTCGCCTTTCAAACCCGCGGTTTTGCGCACGACCCGCAAAAAGTGGTGGGGGTAAGTGCGCTGGGTACACGCTGGAGGTACTTCCTTGACCTACTACCCAGCGCTGGTCCTCCCCCACCACTATTCCATGCACGTAAGCAGCAGCGGTATACCCCCACTACTTTTTGCGGGTTGTGTGCAAAACCGCGGGTATAAAAGGCAAGCGCGCAGTGCGTCTCGTGCTCAGTCGTTCCTGAATCGTCTAGCAGTCCAGTCGCAGTCTCCTCTCCCCCCCACTCCTTTCAATTGATCACCAATTCTTTTCACATCAAGTCATCCACTGAATATGCTCATCATCCATGTTTATATGTACACAAAACGTAAAACTAAACCAAAAACAAAATTAAATGACTAAAATATAGGTTGCTATGCTAAAACTTATTTACCAAAACAATTGCCGTGATATTAGCTGAGTTAAGTCAACATAACAAACCAAAACACAAAATGTACGTTGATAAAACCTTCATCAATTTGGCTACAAACGCATCAGCAGTTAACGACAACTTAGCATTACAACACGGTAATGATCTCGATATATTAGCCAGTACACTCGCGGTTATACAAGATGGCTACGTCAACATCGTCCCCATTTTGAATGCGTCTCGCCGGTCGAAATACATTCCTATTTCACAAGAAGAACGTGGTGCGGGCGTTGTAAAAGAAGTAATTCAACATTCAACCAACTTAAAAACACAACCTAACATTAACATTATAATAGGTCAGATGGCTAGAAATCTCGCAGAAAACTTATTTCGTCGTATTATCATCAAATGGCGTCCAAGTTTATGACATGGAAGCCAATAACATTATATTTGAACATGGATGTCGTGATACCGGAGAAGCTGCATGTAAATAATCTGAAATGTTACATAAAACCAAACAAAATCACTAAAATATTATTTACAGCATATTGTGTTGGAGTATGTGTCCTGAAAGGCAACGTATTATGCGTTGGCACATGGATAGGCACCGTGTGGATGTTCAAACACGAATTAGAAACAGAAGAATTCAGATTCATCAATCGTGTGTATGCACACGACGAAGCAGTTGTAATGTTAGATGGCGACGGTAAAAACATGGCGTCCACATCAACGGACATGTCGTATTTCTGGGCCTTTCAAGGACGGACTTTGATATTATACGCAAGTTATCTATTCACGGGTAAAAAACAACCACAAAAATATAAACAAACAAAAAACCTAACTTGCAACATCAACAGAGTAATGTCAACACCAACCACGTTGAAATATCGCTTCGGTTTCATCTACCTGGGATATTCCAGTGGAGAATTTTGTGTTTTTGACGGTAACAATGAAGATTTTGAAGTGCGTGTCACCGCACACAAGTTAAAAATAACCGCGTTGGATGTTTCTGCTAAATTAGTGATTCTCAGTGCGTCGGATGATTGTTTTGTGAAATTATGGCAGTTTAAACAAGAGGAAGCCATGGTAAAATACAACATAACCTTATTGTTTGAATTTTTATGTTTGTTTTGTGTTTATGTAGGTAACACCAATGCAAACAATATTCAATGAAGATGGACCTGTTTATGGGGTAGGTTTCTTAAACTATGCCGCGACAGAATTCGCTGTTGTAACTGGGGGCAGCACAAAAGTACATATTTATATTGATTGGGAGGATTCTGCAGCTAATGCAGAAGATTTGATAAACGCAATTTAAACTAACATTACATATTATAATTTCACCTTCTTCTTCTTTGTTTTGCTGGCGAGAGGTCCAGGAATCTTGAAAACAGTACTGAAAAACAAAATATTAATTATTTTCACATAAAAATACAAAAATATTAATAAACTTACTGGCATGTTGTGCAAATTGGACTAAACTTACAGAAAACTGTAAAAAAAACATATAATTTATTATAATTTAGTTTAAATTCTTACAAAATACTTACTTGACAAGCAAACTGAACAAACAAACCCAATATCAATCAATTCTCGATGACAGAAACAAGCTGCGCGATAATCCACCTTCACAGGCGGAGGCAAAACTAATTTCTGACGTATAGGCGGCTCAGGCAGAAAAACCCACAATAAATACTGTAAAAGCCCTTGAATCTGAGGAACTTTCAAGTATAATCCACCTGTAATATCACAACCCTGCTGCAAAAGACTCAAATGTTGATCGAGTGCACACACATCAATCACAACATTCTGTTTCTGCGCAGTGAAGAATACATTCATATAATTCATGTATTGTGAAGCAGAATCACCACTGCCTGTTACAACCAGTATTCGACTGTTTATCTACAAAGTATTTTGATGATTATTTATTAAATTATGGATGTAAAGTGTAATAAAATGTACATACTTTGCATCCAGGTGGCTTGGTCCTGTGTATCCTAGCAATATAACACAATGCCATTGCAATAGCACCAGCAAGCAGCGATTCAGTGATGATGGTTGAAGGTGTCTCGGTGGTTAAGATTTTTGCAAGATTTTGTTTCACTGTTTTCTCGACCAGAGTGAACACCTCATACTGACCATCAATCTGCCTCACATCCAACTGCTTGCTGGTGCCCGGATAGATAAACTCGCTGATTTTCGAATGGCAAGCCATTACAGCAAGTTTGTTCTGCGATTTTTGCATTAGATGAGTATTGGCGAAGGCAATCACAGAGTCGACGCATTGTGTAAGGATATGTGGATTGTCACGCAGGATTTTTTGACCTGGGTTAGTGTCCAGGACGATGACGAGTAGACTAGTATCTTCTGTATTTTCAAATTGCGTCTCTTCGTTTGCTTGCTTCAAATCAAAAGCCATTTTTATAGATTTTAGTAATAATTTTTATCGAGGTTAGGTTTTGATATGCGCCTGACGGCGTCTTGGAAACTTTTGAAAGTTCCACTGACGTTGTCAGTTCTGTTTTTTATTTTGATTGCACGTGTTGGCATGTTGTAGAGGACCAAAAAAGTTATTAATTAGGTAAAAGAGAAGCACGCGCATTGATGAAGAGTTCGTCGTCGGGCGGTTCTAAATTCAATTTCGTGCGGCGCGTTTTATCGCGCACATCCACTCGCAATCGCAGTCTCAGCGTCTCATCCACCGCCCCCAATAACAACACCGACATGGACGCGAGCGCAACGCCGAGGTCGACCGCCAAATTTCAGTCGGAGCTGCTTCTGCTCAAGTCGCAAATCGAGAGTTTACAAATTTCAGTGCACCACATGCAGACGGACAACGCCACGAAGGAAAAGGCACTCGCCGCCGCCACCCGAGACAAGGAACAGCTCAGTGTCGACCTCAAGAAGCAGCGACGCTCGAATGCCAACCTCAAGCAGCAACTTGAAGACGAACGCAGCTTTTACTACAAAGAAAAGGAACAATACTGCCAGGAGATGAACAGCGTTAAGAAACAGCACGCAGCGACGCCATTATCCGCACAGAAAGAAATCGCCGAGCTGAAAAACACACTCAATCAAACTCTTGAAGCAAATTACAATCTTAGCGTTAAATTCTTACGGATGAAGAACACCAAACTTGCATTAACGAAACAAATCAATAAATTAACATCACAACATGAAGAATCTTCGAAATATTGCAAAAACAAAGTCGAAGAACTCGAAAACCATATGAATTCGTTAATCCATGAAGAATTCTACAAACCAATTCCACCATCGAGTAAAAAATATCTACACGTTTGTCAAAATCTCATAAAAACCTAAAACAAAAATAAAAAAATTAATATTTCAGCTCCTCAAGAACAATGGCACGTTAATTCATGAAAACTTACAATTGCAACAGGAAGTTGATCGACTCCATGCCGATATCGAACGGATAAAAGTCAATAACATCCGGAATGAAACCAACAGCAAACTCAAACTGATTCATCACGATTCCATCACGTCCAAAAGCAGTGTTTGTCCAAAGTGTAAACTGAAAGCAGATTCCAGTCGTACTGAGCGGAGTATAAAATCCCACTCGAGATCATCACAAACATCCACATCTAGACGTCACCATCATCATCATCATCATCCGCATCGAAATCAAATGAGTTGTAAGTCGATGAATTCGTCCGATTTGAGTGTGGAGGTGATCAAGATTGAGAAGCATGGTAAATTGACGGCTAGTATAGCTAATAATGATTGTGTGGATGTTGATGTGACACAGTCCAAGTATGATCTGATGACAGTCTCCAATTCGAACGTTGCGCTGAGCAAAAGCGAAGAAGTTAAATCCGCGCCTGAAATTTTACGAAAGGTGTGACATTCTGATGTCTGCGATTCGATGAGGGCAACCAATAAAGAAATAAAGATAAGACAATGTACCTAACCTTAAAATTAACGTTTTATCTTAAAATTTTTGTTAAATTTGGTTGGTTTTTTGTTGGTTTTGCAACTTTGGGTAGTTTAAAACGATATTTTATCAAATCTAACCTTAAAATTAATTTAATTATAACATTTAACCTTAAAATTAATTAGAAAATAAGGTTAGTTTTAATTTTCTGGTGGGTTTGTGTAGTTTACAACGCGATTTTTGCAATTTAAGCAAACCTAACCTTAAAATTTACTTCGTTCTAGTTTTTATCTTAACATTTATGCTAAAATTCTGTTCATTTTCAAGTTTTTGGTGGTTTTGAGCAGTTTAAAATGCAATTTGACCTTAAAATTTATCAACTACAAACTTTTAACCTAAAATTTTTACTTTTTAGTAACGCTGCGTTTAAAACGCGAGATATCAAATGGTTCGACTTTAACGCCGTTGTAAGTTACATCTGTGTCCGTGCTGCTGTTCATTACGATGGCAGCACTGTCGGTCATATTCTTTTCCGGCTGTGCAACAGTTGTGTCCATTAATTTTGTTACAACCTTAGCAGGGGCAATCGGTGCCTTTTGCGCAGCTTGTTCTTTCTTGCAAGTAGTGATCAAGTTCTTCAATAAGTTATATTCGGAGTGGTTTCGTTTGTAGGCAACTTTCATTGCATTATAATCGGTGTTAATTGTATCCAAATTATTCTTTGACTCTTTTATTACCTCTGAGTTAGCTGATTGTTGATCTTTTCGAGTGTTTTCTAGTTGTAATTTTTCATCAACTAAAGTTTTAGCTCTGAATTCAATGCTGTTTCCTTTTTTATCAAATCGTTTTTGATTTCATCGAATTCAGCTTGTGTGGAAGTTAGTTTTTCTTGAACCTCCACCATTTTTAAATCGAGTTCTTCGATTGTTTCAGCTGTGATTGTAGCAGATTCGCATATTGATTGAAGCTCAGAAAGTTTTTGTTTGTTTTGTTGTAATTCTTCAAGTTGTAAATCAACATTTTGTTGAGTCAATGAAAAATCCTCAGGAAGATCTTTTCCAAGTTCTTGTAATTCCTCTTGAAGACGTAGTAATATTTCTGATTGATTATCATTGATTGTTTTGTTTTCATCAGCTTGCATCCGGATTTCTTCGAGTTTCTCATCAATTTCCGCGTGTTTTTCATTGAGTTCTGCTTCTTTGGTTGCATATTCTTTTTCTTTATCTTCAATTTCTGGCTTTTTCTTCTCTAACAACTCTTGCTGTTGTTTATTTTCATCTAACGCAGCAATTCGTTGTTTTTCTTTCTCTTCAAACTCGGTTTTTAGTTGTTTTAATTTATCATTACTATTGTTTATAGCCTCATCTAATAATTTATTGTTTTCGGTTGATTCTTCGATGTCTCTTTGAATCTTGTTAATAGTTTCAGTTTGTTTTGACATTTCAAGCTGATTTTGTTCTTCAATCCCTTTTAATTCTTCGGATAAAGTGTCATTTTCTTCATTGAGTGCCTTCAAGGTGTTGGTAAGTGTTTCTATTCCATTGCCGTGCTGCTGTATAAACTCTTTCGGCTCTGTTTCTTTCAATGAATAAATATTGTACATTTCGTTGAAAGATTGTCTCTCAGCAATGATTTCCTTGATTTTTGCGTTTATATCTTTAACGACTGCATGTTTTTCGCTGAGTTCGACAACTTCTGCTTCTAATTGTGCGTGTAATGCTTCTTTTGACAAATATGTACTGAGTGCATCAGCCAATTCACGATCTTTTTCTAATTGCTCGTCTGAAATGAGTTTGAGCATGTTCTCCAAGGAAGAAGTCTTTGAGTTGTCCTGAATTCAAATAAATTTGTTGAAATAGAGTTATAAATAGAGTTATGTGCTATAATTACCTTTGCAGTCTTTGCGACTTGAAGTAAGTGCTCAATTTCACGTATTTCTGGATTGCGACTCGCCATGATGATGTTCAATATTATTGTTAGAAAACTTTTAAAAGTATAGCTGCGATAAATGGTTACACGATGCGGCCATTTGTTATTTGAAGTGACGTCAGAAAAAACAAATGAAACAAATTTATTTTCAAAATAAAAAGTTTAAAAACTAAAGTTTAAATGTTTAATAATAAACAATAATATATTTATTATTAAATATACATTGTACATTATGTTGTTTACTAGTTTTCTTGCACTAATCATGTTTAAATCAATATTAAAAGTTTTAAAACTTGTACAATTCTTGACGAGAACCGGCAACACCGCAGGTAAATGAAAGAATTTCGTGTTGCTCCGACGATAATCGTGCGCACCCGAAGTCGGCCATTTGCACGCAGCGTTTTGCTTTCGCTTATCGCTTCGCCCGCCTGCCAGTCGTCAGCATTGAGCATCATCAAACACAGCAACCAGAAGCCGGCTAGTCACGTGCGATCCGAACCGAATCCACAATCATCCACACATTACCATGGCTGACGAGTACTTTTTCGGTAAGTGAAATCATCCTCGATAATCACGCCACCCATTGCCGCGCATATTCCAACGCGGCGGTGCGTTCTTTCAGCGATATCACAACTCGAACGTCGATTGTTTGCGCCCGGAGCCGGTGTTTTTACGCGCCATTTTTCATTTGTTCTACATATTACTCACGAGATTCAAATATCAACGCGTGGAAACACTTGCAGATGCCGGCGCAAACTACGTCGTATCAACCGTAGATGCTGATTTTAATTTGCGCTGTACAGCTTTGACTCTGGAGGGCGCTAAGGCCAACGAAGTCTGGGACCCGGAGGCGAAGAGTACGGACGACTACCAGGGCGGCCACAAGTTGATCATCAAACAAGCGCTGCTCGGCCCCGACGCCAAAGAAGGTGAAGTAAATGTGGTGCAAGTCGAGGCGATGACCTGGAAGGAGTCGATCAAGATCCCCGTGGCGGTGTTGAAGGGTGGCTCCGCCAACAACCAGGTGCAGCTGGATCTGTCTTTCCCCGACCCACCAGTCACATTCACACTTATTCAAGGCAGCGGGCCTGTGCACCTCATCGGCCACCATTTAATCGGCGGACCTGTGGAGGAGTTTGATGATATGGATGAGATGGAAGAGGAGATGATTGATGATGAGGAAGGTGACATTAAAGAGGTAAAAACACATTTTATTATAAATTTCTCCTTAAAACCAATCCTTTTCATATCCTAAGTTCCAGAATGATAAATATCCATTGGCTACGATAGTAGAGGTCTGTTTTACCGACTTGATGTTTTAATAAATGTTTTTCTGTTGTTAATCTCATGATATCATTGCAGGAAGAGGATGAGGAGGAAGATGAAGGCCCCAAGAGCAAAAAAGCGAAGACGCAGAATAACTCCAGCGGCAAAGGGAAAGCCGCGCCGGCGAAAAACAACAAAGCCAAGAAGTAAACACAACCTCCGCACAACAAGATTGCCGTCGCCATCATCCAACACTCTCTCTCTCGAATGTGTGAGAGATTAACCAAACCCAGGCAACACCACACCAACGGCTTGCGCAGACGCGCAATGACTGCATTTTTTAATCTTCTTACATAGGTTTAGATAGATAAGTCTGTCGAATTAGTTCACAATCTCATCTCGATGCAAAGCTACGTCTGTATTACCTAGAAATGCGATAGAGTTTCGCCTGTGAACAATTGGGGACACAGGTATCGGTTGCGTGCCACGAAGCAGGCGTACATGCCGCGTACATGTACTCGTAATTTTTATTTTTGTTGTGTTTTGTTTGTCGACTCTGGACTCCTGTATAAGTTAAGAAAACTGATTTTTTGATAAGAAAATATGAATGAAAATGAACTGATAAGCACACGAGACTTGTAGCGTTGATTAATGCCCGCCCCCCCCGGCGCGTGTGTGTGGTTTTGTCGATTTGTTTCGTTTGAACGCTCGCAGAGTTCGAAATGTGTCGGTGTCATTTACTGAATGTGCGTGTAAGTTAAGAAAAATGAGAATTTGTTGTGTTGGGAGCAAACGGGAGCGTTACTGATGAATTCAGTTGGACTGAATTATAATTTCTTATAATCGCTTTTCAGTTAACTTGTATTTTATTAATAAATCTTTTCGAAAAAAACATTTTACAAGTCCTCGTTATCTGCAAGTCTGTTTGACGTCTGAATTTCAATTTTTGCTTTCGACCAATCAGCGTTCAGTATTTCAAATCGCAACCGAGTTTTACCGATGATACCCGATCGTTTGTTTTGGTGAAATAAGTTAAAATTCGAACATTTTGTGTATTAAACAATATGAAATTGTTGTTTTTGGAGCATAGAAAAGCGTTATTGGTGAATGCAGTTCAAATTAATTGTAATTTCGTACTAAATCTTCTCGAAACAAATAATTTCGCAATATTATTTTGACATTGTTCGATTTCAGTTTGTTTCTTTCAACGAATCAGTGACGAGTATTTCAAATCACAACCGACTTATGCCGGTAATACCCGATCGTTTGTTTTGATGAAGTAACCTACAATCCGAACATTTTGTGTAGCAAATTATCAGTGAACATGTCTCTCACATCGAAAATAGTTCTTGGAACAGCGTGTTTAACCTCCGCCAGTATCATCGGTTATGTGCATTATAAGCAGAAAATAGACAGGTCAGTGAAACCCTTACTTTCTTCATAAAAATATAGTGAAAAAATAATATTTATAGAGAACGCTTGCATGAAGGTGTCATTCGTGATATTGAGCGACAACAGCGCCGCAAAGCGGAAAATTTGTACAATTTACAGCGGCAGCATGACCTTGAGAAGGAAATCAAACGAACTGAAGAATTAAAAGGCGAAATGTCGCTTTGACTGCGTATTAAATTATTAATTTGGGCAATAATGAGTCATAACTATCGCGAAAATCAAGTTTGGGGGCGAATAAATTGTATATATTCTTTATTAAATTAAATATATGATATAAAAATATTCTTGTGCCCAGTTGAGCTAAAAATCTTACGTCATCACATTAGTATCGTCAAAACGCACGCGTCTGCTTGTATCCAAGTTGCTAAAACCCAGTCCGAAGTTTTTATGCAGTTCCTCGATAGATTCATTCAAATATTGATTCTCGTAATGTTTTTTATACTTTCTTATGAGCATAAAACAAGCAACCAATAGAATTATTTGTATTAACAACCATAAAACTATCAGACCAATCACAAGAGAGAAGTCTATACACACTTCGTTGTTTAAATAATCTACAAACAAGAAATATTTAAATATTTAAACATGTCATGGTGTATAACTGGTTGCCTACGTTGCATTGCCACACTTACCGAATCCAGCGACTAATATCTTGTTGTTTTCACCATAAACCAACTTATCAGGCTTAGCATTGATATTGCGCACGATAAGCGTGTACTCCAATGCCATTTGAAACGTTTTATTGCCTTGCAAGTGATTGGCAGCATCAGTGCGCTGAAATTCACTGCGATTCACCGATTTCACGGCGACTTCATTATCGCCGAGATCAGCGCGTCTGCGCATGCGATTGTAAAACGTCTCACCGCCACAATCAACGTCCGGACATTTCTGCTCACAGAAGGTAACAGTCACGCTGAAGCGTATCACATTCGACGACGAAAACTTAAACGCTTGAAACGACGATGTTAGTTTTATACTGTCACCATCGACTTGTTTCTTCAACCCGGGGAAAGCATCCAAATTCGTTGGACATCCACGATCATCCAGTAACAAGATGGAGTCCTGGCTGGTTTCCGTCATGGCGATTAAATGTCCTGCAGTTAAATCAATACCACCTGGATAAAATAAATAAAAGGTTAGTTTTTATTTATTTTTATTATTTTTATTGTTATTTAAAGTTATGTGATGACACTTACTATTAGCGGGTTTCATTTCGATGATAAGTTGTAACTCATCACCGATTTCGGTGTCTCCTACTTCATTCGAGCTTAAATCAATGATTTTCATCTCGACTGTCGGTTGATTCGGCAGTGTTGAGTTTATATTTGTGCTTCCGGTGTGATCTGTGTTACTAGTTCATTATTTAGGTTAGGTTGTGATTATTATAGGTTAGAGTTACTTACTCGGTTATATTGAAGCCTGTACCAACGACAACTCGATTTCCCCCACTACCAAAAATACATCCGACTTTAATGATGCGATCCGCTTGTGTTTGGACCATGCTGTTGTATTGCAACACCATTGTACTTGCGTATAAAGTGCGGTTTTGATCACTTGTTATTTTTGTTATGCCACATTTGTGCGAGGTTAGTGGCACGTGGAGTTCCACGTGGCGGGATTTATTGCCGATTACGTAGCATTCGCTTGTTTCGGAAAATCCCTTCATGTAGATTTTCCCGTTGAAGACCATGTCGGTGTCGTAGGAAATCGTCATCAGTGTGTTTGTACATTCAACACGGACTTAAAGAGAAAATTTATAGGTTATATTAGTATATTATGTATCAAGTGTGCTAAGTGGCACTTTAACCACGTTTTGTCACTTGATTTTTTTCTATTTTTACTTTATTTCCACGTTTAATTTTTGTATTTGAACTTTTTATTTTAAAATATTGAGTATGCGCAAGTTCCACTTCGTGGCTAAAGTACTTTAGTCATGATTTTGGCCATCCGTGATTAAAATACCACTTTTTGTGTCTCAAAACCGTGGAAAAGTTGAAAAAATGATTTTAAAGAAAAAAATGTCATCACTTACTATTTAAACATGGCGCGCGTTCATAATACATGGCTCCAGGATGTTCCCGTAGGGATTTCGGCCCATGTACTTTACTATTTTCACTGTGCACTAAACACATGTACTGTTGATGACTCATCGATGCTTTAAAACTAGGTATTAATGAATAACCTCGACATCTGAACGCTGTATACTGCTCGCATTCTCTTTGACATTGCACATTTGTGAGGTTAGGATACACAGCATCAACGTGCGTTAACATTACGTTTGGATATTCTTCAAATGCGCAAAATTCATTAGTAACCGCTACAAAAAATTATTTTTTAAATTATTTTTAATTTTTAATGAAAAAATTATCACTTACGATCCGCGCATTGATTTTCAAAGTATTCATCATCATAACCGGAAACCCGGAAACCTTGCGGGGTGATAAATCTATCTGCGGAACTAAGGGTGCATTCACCAATGGCGTCCGCTGTTTGCCTCGGGGCATAATAGTCGTTGATTACGGAATTCACAGGCATCAGGCGGAATTTAGTGGAACGACACCGGAAGTCGCTTTCGGCCAGGCAGTTTTCCTCGCATTCGAGGCGTGTTTGTGGTACTGGTAGGCGTTTGGTGGAATTGCCGACTAATGTCGACGCTGGTATTCGTTCCATTACCCACAGTTTACCACATATTCGATCTGTAATTTATTGATTAGCAATAATTTTTGACATTTCACCATAATTCGTCCTCGTTACATTTATGTTTAAATTTCACTATTTTATTAACTTTCTAATTATTATCGCGAAAATGTTAACATTGCTTAACCTTAACCTGTAATAAAATTAGGCAACTTTTCAGACACGTAGCCTTTTTGTTTGGGTTTTTTTTGATTTTCACGTATTGAAAATGTAAAATTTTTGTTTACTTTTCATTTTCATACAATAATTGCGAATTTTTCTCTATTTTTGCCTGAAAAAGTGTCAAACTCGTAGTTTTTTGACAGTATTATAAGGTTTAATTAAGGTTATGCTACTTTTCATACATTTAGCTATTTTTTTAGTCGAAAAATGTACAAAATTATTTTTTATTGGCAGATTTTTAAGGTTAAGTTTGAGTTATGCAACTTTAACTACACGTAGCTTCTTTATACTTAATTATTATCGCGAAATTTAAAAATATTTTAACCTTAACCTATAAATAATGTTTATTATCTATTTACTTGACTTACTTTGAAAGCACACCTTCCTAAACCACGCGATATTCGTATCGAAAATATTATCGCCATCTTGGATGCCTTGTGGTTCGCCAACCAACGAATGGCAGGACGCGTTCGCATAATTCAGGACTATACTTGTACAAGATGTATTCGTGCGACATCTTCGCAAACATTCGTAGGTAATACCTGATTCCAGACTTGTTTTCGAGGCGGCAAATAATAAATTAGCGCCTATGTTATGCGAAGGACGTAGGCCAAGGACTTTTTCGAAGTTTAGTTGGTCTTGGGGGGCAGTTTAAGTTTACATTGGCACCTGAACAACGCAATATTTGTAATATTTTGTTATTTTTATGTAAATTATTGGAATATTACTGTAGGAAGAATGAATCACGATGACTAAGTAGAGAAGTTTCACTCGTAGGGCTTTGAAACACAATATCATGGCGGCCATTTTGTTTTTTTGGAGAAAAAATCACTTTTTTACAAATTAAAAAAATGTTTACACAAACATATTAAAAACACTCACACTTGTTGCGATTTACAAACACTTTTAAAGTAGCGTTATCAGTTTATGAGTTATCACACCACTGGAAAAATTAAAATTGATTTTTACAGTCACAGTCACACGTCGAACACAAAGTGGATCAGTTTTGTTTTTCGTAAGTAAAATTATATTAAATTCAATTGAATTTATTTTTGAATTTTTTGTTGTGTTGACGTTGTTGTCGTCGCCACATGTGTCCAAGCTGATGGTGCGCGTCGGCGTAAATATACTGCGTCCACCCGCAACTCGCGCACGTGAGTGTAAAGAAATGCACGCGCAGAAAGAGAGGAGTTTGCCGCCGTGCGCGCGGAGAAAAAAATTGAATAGTGGCGATGGACGTAATCCACGCAATGCACACGCACACTCGTTTGACTCTGTGCACTTACATAAAACAGCCGTTGACAATTGATGGACTGTTACTGCTGTTACTACTTGTTACCGCTTGTTAGTAGTCGTTATTAACACACACCTGGGGAACAGCCTGGGCAAATTCATGCAAAAGTGCAGCGTGCGCGAGTGCGCGAATGTATTACGTAAGCCATGCCAACCTTGGACTATTTTATTCTTGCCATTACCTTTTTTTCCATGCGAAAAATGTATACACTGCGCATCACTATGTTGCAGGTAATTTTCATGCGTTTGGTGAGTGTTTTCGTTTGGTTTTTTGGGGAAAATGAGGGAAATTATGGATTTTTGAAAGAAGTTTAAGGTTAGATTGAAGTTAGGCAACTTTTCATACATGTAGGCATTTTTTATTCGTAAATTGTGGTAGAAATTTGGGAAAACACTTTGTTTATTATAATATTTTGTGGCACAAACAGTAAAATTTAGTGATTGTCACGAACAGGCTTGTATATTACTTGATTTTCATGAATTGGGAATGAAAAATGTATTTTTAATGCCTTTTCATACTGTTTTTGAGTGTTTTTCTTTATTTTTTGGTTTAAAATGCGTGAAATTATGTTTTTTGACAGAATTTTAAGGTTAGATTAAAGTTAGGCAACTTTTTATACGCGCAGTAAGTTTTTATTGGTAAAATTTAGTACAAATTATGGAAAACACTTTGTTTTTAACAATAATCTATAGCGTAAACAATAAAATGTAGTGATTGTCACGAACAGGTTTGAGTTTTACTTTATTTTCATGAATTGGGAATGAAAAATGTTGTTTTAACGCATTTTCATAGAATTATTGAGTGTTTTTCTTTATTTTTTGCTGAAAATGCGTCAAATTATGTTTTTTGAAAGAATTTTAAGGTTAGATTAAAGTTAGGCAACTTTTTATACGCGTAGTAAGTTTTTATTGGTAAAATTTAGTACAAATTATGGAAAACACTTTGTTTTTAACAATAATCTAGCGTAAACAATAAAATGTAGTGATTGTCACGAACAGGTTTGAGTTTTACTTTATTTTCATGAATTGGGAATGAAAAATGTTGTTTTAACGCATTTTCATAGAATTATTGAGTGTTTTTCTTTATTTTTTGCTGAAAATGCGTCAAATTATGTTTTTTGAAAGAATTTTAAGGTTAGATTAAAGTTAGGCAACTTTTTATACGCGTAGTAAGTTTTTATTGGTAAAATTTAGTACAAATTATGGAAAACACTTTGTTTTTAACAATAATCTAGCGTAAACAATAAAATGTAGTGATTGTCACGAACAGGTTTGAGTTTTACTTTATTTTCATGAATTGGGAATGAAAAATGTTGTTTTAACGCATTTTCATAGAATTATAGAGTGTTTTTCTTTATTTTTTGGCCAAAAATTAAGTAAAATTTTGTTTTTTGACAGAATTTTAAGGTTAGATTAAAGTTAGGCAACTTTTCACACACGTAGGCCATTTATATTGGTAAAATCTGCTACAAATTATGGTAAACACTTTGTTTATAACAATAATCAACACTGCAAACCGTAAAACTCGCCGATTGTCACGAACAACCGTGAGTTTTACACTTTTACTTAATTTTCACGAATTGGGAATGAAAAATTTTCCTATGAATGCGGTCATGTTCACATAATCAACTATTGTTGCAATTTATTTACCAGTTGACGAAAATAGGAAATGTTTTCATAAATTAGGGAATTCCTTTTACCTTGCGCAAAACAATAGTAACCTCAAATTGGTATCTATAGATTTAGCGCATTTGGCCATCGCATACCTAACCTATACTTATTTTCGACTTACTAAACGAAGAATTCTTTCAAAATTATATAATCACACAGGTTACATTACTCTACTTCCGGTTTATCACTGTATATTTAAATATTGCGCCATTTTTGATTTTCATCATCATAACTTAACATAACCTAATTTACTAATTATTACTGCATCTTAAAAAATGGCGAAAATTTTTAGACTTTTGATAATATTTTTAGTTTTATACTAATCACAACGCAATAAATAACAGTTTACATGTTTATATTGAAGAGACATGCCACTAGACGCACGCAAAGCGCATCGCTTGACAAAGCTGTCATTACACGCGTCGTTGCGCATCAATGTGAAATGTTTCGTGTGATTCAATTCACATATTACCACAATAGCTATAAACGCATCGGTTTCTAACCTTAATGTTATCATTATCACACAACCTCACTAATTTATCACGCCTACTACCTATGCAATCGGCCATCTTGTTCATGTTTACGCTTTGTTTTGTTTTGTGTTTGTTGCACTTTAATTATCTGGCATTGAAAGTGAGGAAATCATCAAGGACACCGAAGGGAATAATTAAATTAACTCATCGTTATATGCAATCACACTTAACACTTTGTTATCTTCACGTTGCACTTGTTTTTTATGTTTATCCTTCAACCGGAGATCAGATAATGAAAGTTATTTATGCGCATACACAGATTAGGTTAGGTTATGTTAGCTGTTAATATACAAGTAGCACAATTTTTATCTCTCGCGATAATTCTATATTTAAATTAAGCAAATAATGTATAATAAGTAATGTATGAATTCGTTTTTGTGTCTACGTTAGTTAAAGTTAAGTCATTGGCGCAAGTGTGACTTAAAACACGTTTTTTATAAATTTTTATTAATTTAAAGGTTAGATATCTGCAGTTGAAGACAGGTAAGATGAAATTTTATGTTTTTCTTGTAAATATACGCAAAACAACGAACAAACAAGCAATAAAAGTCTTATCATGACTTTTAAAATTTATTACATCAATTTTTCTGGAACTTAAACTTCAGAAAAATTATTTTTTTATTAACTTACGCGGTTATTTTGTGCGGTAATAAAATCAAGTGAAGAAAAAATGGAAAAGTTTAAAGTGTTGATATGTATTCTCGTGGGATCTCTCCTGTTACCACCGGAAGTAATGGCGGACAATGACATAGACCTGGGTAAAATCGTCCAGTCAATGGCGATGATAAGCATGAACGTCTCACTCACACAACTCCCGCAATTATTGGTCGCTGCAATCACAGGCAGCGTACCATTTTTACTACAAAACTTCGGACAACTCACCATGCCTCTCCAACAAATCTTCCAGATGATAAGCGATGCCGGAACTTCCACATCCTTGATAAACCAGGCTTTCTCATCACTGAATCTTGGATTTTCAGCGTTGAGTAAATTATTCACGGATATCGTCCCGGTGACTTTTGATTTATTCAAAAATCTTGGACTTTCTTTATTGGATGTGCTATCTACAGTCCTGAGGACTATTCTGAATGACTTATTGGGTTTCCTTAAAGTCGTGGAGTTACTTAACCTCAATCCAACTCAACTACAGAATTTACTCCTTTTGGGAAGCGAGCAGGATTTATTTACGTTCATATCTTCAGGAGTGTTTACCCAATCAAGTCTTTTATCAATAGCGGATATTTTGAATATAGACTTGACTTTCAGTGGAGTACTGGGTTTCTTCCAATTGTTTAATTTTGATTTTGCGATGAAATTCTGTCAATTCGTAACGAATGACATTTTACAACTTGTGAATGTCTTGGGATTGGTTGAAGATGTCCTGGGAGCTGCATTGAGTGTTTTGAATATTGTCACACAGATACTTGACCTGGACTTTATAAAGGATATTCTTGCACTTGTAACTGGTCAACAACTATTGGCGAATATTGTTTCTCCGACTACGGCATTAACGAAAAAAGGAAATCTCTTGATGAGTATTTTTGTTCAACTATCACAGTTTGTAGACATGGCTGCTTCACCCTTAGGTGGTGGGGGGAGTTTAATACCTATTTCCTTCCAAGATTTGGGTAATTTTACGCAGATTTTATCTCTGGCTGGTCCCCTATCGGATGTTCTATTTTCTACAACTGGCAAAATCGCACAGAAAGATTTATTGTCTTGTGTGGTCACGGAATTGGCGAGTACGGATATTCTTGGAGTGGTTACCAGTGCTGTTTTTGATGGAGGGATATTCAAAATACCAACTGAGGGTATTTCACAGCTTGTGGAAGGAACACCGTTGGTTTGTTCGGACTTTTTGATGGGTATTCTGGATTCTATTGATAATTTATTCTTCAATTTCAAACCGCTGCAGCCTGTGAAAGTTGTGAAAACTTATGATTTTAGAAATCCGTTCTTTGATATCCTAACGCGTTTGATTACCTTTGGGCATTATTATATGTGGCTTATTTTGGTGAATATTTATTTGATGTTGAAGGATTATATTACAGAATAATATTAGTTGTTTACTTGCCCGCTAGATGTCTATATGTTGAATGTTTCACAATTTTTACTTTATGTTTGAGTAAATTTTGTAATTGGTTGAGAAATGAAATAAAAAGTGATAAAATGTTTATAGTAATTTTATATAAATATGGATGCTGGTATTTTTACAGTCTTTGCATCATTTGACGTAAAAAGATGTGACCATGAGCGCAATGCATCGCTTGTTCTAGTTTATTTTTTTATTTTTTACATATGAGTACATAAACTCGATGCGTTCTTGTTTTTATAGATGTGTCTAATGGAAATTGTAGTCGCATTTCTGTAATGCGATTAGCACACTGCAATGTGTTGTTGTTCAAATACAAATACAAAGTGTATCGGATAAATTTGAATAATGTGTGGGATTCGCCAACGCTCAAATTTATTTAGAATTTATTGTATTTGTGCTCTAGTTAAATGTTTTAGTTGAAATGAAAACGAAAACAAAATGCTAGCGACAAACACTCATGTTAAGGAAAGTTATAAGCAAAAAACAACAGGAAATTAGATTATTGCATAAATTATGTCATGAAACACACATAAAAGTTGATTGTGTGCATTTTATATCATTATCTTATTATTTACTTCATTATTTTGTGGTTTTATAGGTTTTTTTTATTATCTGACTCATAATTTACAAGAAAAATACATGTAAATACACAAAATTATCCTTTAAAACGCGGATATTTTTAAAAACAGTGACCGCTATCATTTTTGCATTTCATTTTCATAGAATTATTAAGAATTATCAGTTTTTGGGCGAAAAATGTGTCAAAATAGGTTATTTAACAGTATTTTAAGGTTAGATTAGAGTTAGGCAACTTCTTATACATTTAACCATTCTGTATTTGCTAATTTTATTATTTACATCATTATTTTATGATTTTTTTAGCTTTTTTAATCATTTGAGTCATAATTTACCACAAAAATTCAATTTTAATACTCCAAACGATAAATTTTCTTCTTTCTAAAAACAATGGCGTCTGTCACTGATCAAATGTCATTAATATAAAGCCTACATGACCAATTAATTCGTCCTTGCGCTGAAACTGACTCACATACCAAACGCAAAACGTGACGATATTTAAATTTTCAACTCGTTAACGCAACGCAACGCCACTCCACTTGACTTTACTAAGCATAACTGTCTCAATGTTGACTTTCGACTTCAACGGCTGCGGCTGAATTAAGTAGCGTGTGGGTGAACAAGTGTTTTAATGAATATTAATGCCATGCTACATCACGATACAAACGTGGAAATATCGATTGTTTATTAAGTTAAACTTTTTATTTCTTTTATTACAGCTTAAATAATGACTTTTTCCACACGTCGATCAATGGATAATCAAACCATTCTAACTCTTGTTTCTCGTTTGGTCTGGGCCCGATTGGGATATAAAATAGCCATGGGTGCATATAGGATGTTTAGGAAGCGATTCTATAGCTCTACGGAAACTACACCGGAAGCATTCTATGAAATCAAAGAGGAATGGCTGCTTGAGAGGATGAAACACTTGGGAATCGAGAATAAACCAACAGAAATTAAAATCAAAGCAGAATAATCATAAATTATTATTCTAATCAAATTTAAACAATTATAAAACAGGATGTCACTTGATTATCCGCTTACCGCAAGACCCAAGATGGCGTCGCGTCCAATGTTTAATTATTCATTATTCATTATACCTCATAATATTATTGTAATTAAATGTTCTTTGTTTGCGTACTTGAACTTCATGCTTGATGCTCACGTTGAGTATACAGTGCGTTCGCGATACGAAAAATATGACTCACGCCCACCACACGGTAAGATTAGTAAATACACGATCGGACGTGTTTAATGCATGCATCGTGTGAATGCACGCCGTGCGCGCGGCGAAAGGAAGAAAGCGGTCGGTGTGTGTGCGCTGAGCGCCGAAGGAGAGTCATAATATTCCAAGTCGAAGTCGAGCCGCGCGGCCTGAACGAACGGAACAATTCTCAGCGCGTCTCGAGAATGGTGCGGCACCGCTGAGACGGAGAGAGAATGGTACAGCGAGCAGTGCGCTATTGAAAAACGTCTCCGAGACGTCTCAGAAATTCAGCATTCAGACTCAGTGCGGTTTCACGCGGCGTGCTACACGGTGTGCGTCTTCGTTTTTTTGAGAATTCATTGAGAAAAACACGTGAAAATTGGATTATTACACACATAACCTCAATTGACGACTCCTAAGGAATTTTTCCAGTGAAAATCAAGGTGTGTTATGGTTATTTTTTGTTATTTTGAGTTTTAAGGCTGTGTCACTGTTGATTCACCTGTTTTTCGGTAAGTAAGTTGAACTTGCGTTCACTGCGCGCTTTTGGGTTACTGTGTCTTTGGCCGATTGTCCGCGTTGAAGCCGAACGCATCGCCTGGGGCGATACAAAGTGTACAGTTGTTAAATTAATAACATTTATAGCCACAAATGAGTAATAATTACTATATTCCCAGCTGTAAACGAATCTTTTGTTGATTTGTTTCGTATGCGCTTTTGAATGACATTGAAACTTGAATCATAATCGCGATTGCAGTTCCATGCAGACAATGGTGTAAATCTATAAAGTGTGATTCATCAGGCTTTAAATACTCGTATGCTAAGGTTACGCACGTCGAACAATCGATTTTTTCTTTTTGCTGTATTGTTTGACATTGACAATAAACGCACATTGGTAAAATATTATAGGCAGAAGAATCGAGTGTATTGTGTTGCCTACTTTCTAAATGTGGATTTTTTGTCAGTGAGTAAACATAACCGCGTTTGTGTGCTGTCCGCACCTTGTTTTGCCGCAGATATAGGTTCGGCAGTGTGGTGAATGCACATTCGCAAAACGCGCAAAATATGTTTCGGCTTTCTCTTACACATTCGGGGAGTGTATAATTAAGTCGTACATTTTGATACTGGTAATGTATCATTTACAACGATCGTAAATTAGAAAATTTCGGTTTTGAAGAGTGATTTGTAAGTATGTACTCACTTATTTATTATCTTGACTTCAAACAATATTTTTTATTTATTCTTTCGATAATGCAAAAAATACAAACAGTAAACAAATTTATTTTACAAGATAAGAAAGTGTGATTTAACTGGGAAGTTAATCGGATCAATAATAAAGTGAAAAGTTAAATAACTCAGGATTCTGCGAATTTTGTTACTCATGTTTGTAGAATATGTACACATTTGTATTTTTGACACATCGTAAACTCTTATGAGTCAGTTTTTGATAATCTAAGATTGAGAAAACCAGTGTTGTATTTATTTCATCACAAATTTATATCAAAAATATTTTATAAGCCTAAAAATATTATATTTTCAAGTGTGGCACTGTTCAAATTACTATCAAATGTTTAGCTTATCAGCTGATTTATCATAACGACAAATGTGTCCCACGCAGTATGTGTTACAAAATCGAAAACAAAAGTGCATCGACATCTAGTCTGTAGTCGCGCGTAATTGTGCGCTGGTAATTACTAAGTGAGCATGTAATTATTGCTGTGTGCTTTTAAAGTCAGTTGCGTTTCCGAAAATAAAGCAAACGCTGAGTCAAAGTGTGTTTTAAGTGCTTTGATGGTCTGGCGCTTACTTGAAACTTTCGTGTAAAAATACTTTTGCTCGGGGAGCTGCGATGAGTATCCAGGACGTAGGAATAGTAAACAATCCCAATGAGGAGAACCAGCCGGATGTAGAACACTTTCAATATGGCGATAATGTTACCGATGTAATTACTAATACTAATTTTAAGTTTAACTTTGAAATTATGATATTTGAGGTAATTTTTAGTTATATTGTGTTTTTTCTTTGTGTAGATCTCGGATGAGATGGCAACGGAACGTACCCTGGCCGGGTGTCTCCTAAATGGCGGTACTAAACTTCCGGTGCGTCGTACCAACAGTAAAATGGATTACCACTTTCACCTACAGCGAAATTCTACGTTAATACTACCACACCTATTACTAATGGAACAAATGGTCATACACCACGCATAGATGATCCTCCCAATCGATGGAAGATAAAATATGAAGATTCTGAGGAACGTCGAAAGAAATTACTCACTGAAAATGAAAAAAGTAGGTTTTATACTCTTTAAATCCACAAAAATTAATTTTTATTGTATTTTTTAGCAAAACGTGCTCTCGAAGATTCCGAACGAAAATGTATCCAATTACGTTGTAAGAATGAAGAACAAGAAACCGAATTATTCGAGAAAAACGAAAGCCTCGCCAAGTTAACAACCGCTTCTAAAGGACTTTTTAAAGAATATGACGCTCTTAAACATAAATACGAAGCAGAAACAAACGCAATGCGAGGTGCACTCACAGACGCCTCACATTGGTATAAAGAAAACAAAGCCTTACGTCGTAGAACACTCCTCCTTCAGGATGCAGACGCTGTTGATGAAGGCGTGGATGCATGTGAACCCACCGCCTCCGATGGGGCGGATCTTGACAATCTACGTGAATCAGTGAGGGCGTTAAGTACAGAGGTGGCGCAACTCCAAGCGGAGCTAAACGCTGCTAAACTAGCTGAGTTTGAAGCTAGTGAACATGGCGCACAACAATCACATGACTTAGAGGAGGAGCGTCGACGTAATGACCGCCTCCAGAGTGAATTACGTGATTTAACTCAGAGTCATGAACAACTCATGCGGGTTTCCGGAATGATGCAACGTGAACTCGAAGAGCTGAAACGCATGGCCGCCAGTCATCAAAGCAACGCTGAGGCACTACGTAAAGAAGCTGATGGCTATCGTAAGGAGCGTAATGTCCTAGCACATCAAAGCACCATTTTATTGGAAGGTGTAGATGATGTGGGACAACTCCTACTTGCGCAGGAAGTAGAGGAACTTAAGAGTACTCTTGAGGAGGAACGTGCCAGTCATCAGTTGGAGTTGGAAGCGTTGCAGGAGCGTTGTGCTGATAAAGAACGCGATGCGCAAGTTGAGATATTAGAGGAGCGTTTGCGATTGGTTGAAGCGGAGTTAAGACGTGAGGCGGAGCGTGCTGATGTTGCTGAAGCTAAATTAAAAGTTGCAATTGCGCCGCCTCCTCCTCCACCACCGCCTCCTTTGCCACAAGCACAGTCTCAACCGCCTGTTGTGCCGTTGAGAGTTAAGAAGATGTCGAGATCTTCGCCGCCTCCGAGTTCAGAGGAGCATGTGGATAAAGCTACTGCTGCGCCTGCTGCTGCGGGTGTTAATGAAGATATTATTAACCAGATTAAAGGTGGGATGTTTACACTGCGTAAGGCTAAGGCGGAGCGAAGGGAACGTGAAGCACCGAAGGCTGTCAGCGAGATGTTGAATATCCTGGGGAGTTTGAGGAGGACTACGCGTAATCGTATTTCTCTTGCGCCTGCTAGTTATGGCGATGTGCAGTTGTGACTTTGACTATGTATCTATAATTTTTTTATTGTTAATGTAAAGCTATTTTATGCTAAATATATTCTTAGTTTATATTATTCCATGTCTATGTTTTATTTTTACCCTCTTTTATATATTTTATGTCAATCCGAAGAAAATAGGAAGTGATGTTGATGTTGTTGGATTGTTACTGAGTCCTTAGACGTTAATATAAACATAAGAACATTAACAAGACAAGCATCGGTGGTTCAGTGGTAGAATGCTCGCCTGCCACGCGGGCGGCCCGGGTTCGATTCCCGGCCGATGCATGCTCAGTTTTGCATTTATTTTCTAATTATTACTAAATAATTTATAATAATTAATAAATTCTACTAATATTTTCATTTATAAGTTTTATTTAATGTCCTTTTGGCACCGGTTGAATTCAAATTTAAAGTTAATAGTGTTTTGTAGAAATTGTTTTCATTCGAACAACAGGGTCGAACTTTTTTTAATGAAAATATTACTTGTCGAAGAACAGGGCCGCATTTTTCAGTAAAAATTATTTTCCTTCGAAGAACAGGGTCGAACTTTTTTTAATGAAATTTTAATTGGTCGAAGAACAGGGTCGAACTTTTTTCTTAAAATTTTTCAGTGCAAAGTCAAATTTTTCTTTAAAATAGTCAATAGGGCCTAAACGGTAAGTGGTAGAGAAAAATTGTTCTTAAATAAAGTAATCAGAATTTAACAAGCTATCAGAATCCGAAATCGAAATTGAAAAATTCCAACTTTTAATTTCTAACATAAAAAAGAGAAAAGTTTTGCCTTTTTTATGACGAAATCTTTTTCGAGTGTTTTCGACCTCAAAAAAATTGAAATTTTTTTATTGCAGAATATTAAAGAAAGCGTGATTTTAAACACTTTATCTTAGTAAATTTTTGTTCTAATATGCATCGTTTAGATAATAATCACCATAATAAATTTCGTTTTCGTGCGAAGTCAAAATTTTTGTTAAAATTGCCAATAGGGCCTAAACGGTGAGTGCTATTGGAAAATTGTCTAGAAATAAATGAATTAAAATTCAATAAGCTATCCGAATCCGAAATCAGATTTAAAAAATTCCTATTTTTAAGAATGCATAAAAAAATGAAAAAGTTTTGCCTTTTTTATGACGAAATCTTTTTACGGTTTATGTTTTTTATAGCATAAATTTAAAAGGTGGAATTTTAAAAATTTTTCTTCGGATTATGATAAAACAGGACATTATAAATCATTTATTTTAGTAAAGTTTTTACCTACAACCCTTATTTAAGGCCCTATTGGCAATTTGGTTACACTAATTAAAACACTGATTATTTTAAAAATGGTCAGTCTGATAACTAAATTTCACTAAGATAAAATAACCAGAATTATTGTTCCTTCCATTTCCCGTCATAAAAAATTAGAATTTTGCATTTTCACTTTTTACCTATAAAATGATGGAAAAAACTGAAAATCTAGTTTATCGCACTTTTCTCGGAAACCATTGGGGCTAACAAAAAATGATTTTCAGATTCGTATACAGGGGATAATTCTACATTCGATAGCACTTAGAAATATTAAGTATTCAACTATTATGTAATAAGTGAAAATGGTCAATAACTCAAGAACTAATTAAGATATCGAATCAAAACCAAGATTAATGGATTCTGGGCATCATTCTACATCATATTGGAAAATTTGAAGAAAATCTGAGTTGTGGTTCATTTTGGTCTGTTTTAATTTTCACAGATAATTTGGGAAATATTGGTGTTATCAGAAAACTGACTGGATATCTTTCATCACATTGCAATTGTCTATCGAATGGCGTTTTCCATTTTCTCGTAGCTTAAAGTTTAATTTTTCGACCACAAAATACTTAAGTGTAACCTCTTGATACTTTTCAAGTGGTTTTTGGTCAACTTCTTTGAATCAGAAAACTGAATCTGCCATTTTATAGATCCTTATCATGACATGAAAGAACTGCAAAAAGTTTTCCTGCAACTCTTATAGTTTCCGAGAAAATCGCGTCGGAAAATTCACTTTTCACGTTTCAAAAGTAAAAATTTTAAAAGCTTATCATATTTAGAATGGTTTGCTGAACATAATGCAGTTTTCCGTTTTTGTATATCTCTATTAGTTCAGGAGATAATCGGTAATTAAGTCATGCTGGAAGTACATGTTTCACTCAAATGCTCCTACAGAGTAAACAGTAAGTACTAATGAGTAAGAAGTTTTATTTATAAGTATATTAAGAGCCTCTCTACGTAATGGTATTATTAATTTTTAAGCATAATTAGATTTACGTTATAAAATGTCAGGCGCCTCCGCCATATTTTAGATAATTATTTGCATGTTTTTTTATAAATTGAAAATGTTTAATTTTTATTGCTGATTGTGAAAGAGGACAATTATATGAATAAAATATTTTAATGTATTATTTTAATTAGACGTTTAGTTTAGAAGATATTCGCATAAATCTTTTGAATACAATTTTGTCAATAGGGCCTTAAATAAGGGTTGTAGTGAAAAACTTTACTAAAATAAATGATTTATAATGGCCTGTTTTATCATAATCCGAAGAAAAAATGTCAAAATTCCAACTTTTAAATTTATGCTATAAAAAACATAAACAGTGAAAAGATTTCGTCATAAAAAAGGCAAAATTTTTAATTTTTTTATGCATTCTTAAAAATAGGAATTTTTCAAATCTGATTTTGAATTCGGATAGCTAATGGATTTCTAATTTATTATTTCTAGACAATTTTCCAATAGCACTCACCGTTTAGGCCCTATTGGCAATAATTTTCTTTAATATTCTGCAATAAAAAAATTTCAATTTTTTTTGAGGTCGAAAACACTCGAAAAAGATTTCGTCATAAAAAAGGCAAAACTTTTCTCTTTTTTATGTTAGAAATTAAAAGTTGTAATTTTGAAACTCTGTTTGCGGATTATGACATCTTGTTGAATTCTGATTACTTTATTTAAGAACAATTTATAAATAAGTTCGACCCTGTTGTTCGACAAGTAATAATTTCATTAAAAAAAGTTCGACCCTGTCTTTCGGCATAAAATGTTTTTATTGACTATGTTGAGCGCCCTCTGCCGATCGAAACTAATATTAACGGTTTATTAACTACAATTTTAAAGGTGATTTTAGGGCACTTCCAGAGGAGTCCAGAGGGTCGGGAAGGTATCCAGCATATAGAGAAACTCTTAAACTATTATGTGACAATAAGATAGCTTAAATTGCTTTATTAGTTCCTGAAATATAGGGTGTTTTCCACGGCAACTTTTAGAAATTGAAAGAAAAGCCATTTTGAGCACTTCCGGAGGACTTAGACCTGCAAAGGTTACAAATACAATAAAACCAAAGTAATACTATGTAAAAATCTTTATTTTCTTGTCGTTCATCATTCATTAATGTTTCACTAATCAAGATATAAACATTTTGTCGCCCAATCTTGCACTCACATTTGCCCCATATACAGTTTCATTTCACAATTAAATAGAAATTTCCCTAGAGGTTCACAAGTTCGCCCTCTCGACAGTCATCAAAAACTCCATAACTCAATAGCGCACAACTAAAAATCACTTGCAATCTCGTGGCGAGCGGCGAGCAAATACGTAGCGGTGATACAATAACAAAAAACAGAAGGAAATATCGCCGTCGCGCGTAACTAAAAACTAATTATAAACGTAAAATTACTTAGAACTTATGTGAATAAATCTCTTTACAAATCAGTGCCGTGTGTCTCATATATTGCATCGCAAAAGATGAATAACCAATGAATAATACGCTGTAACAGAATCGCCGATTTCGAATTGCTTTTCATTTGTGTGTTTCTTTGGACGGTCGCTGACATTCCTGGCTAACAATGACTCCCCGATCAGAATATTATTCATTTCGTCATCCGATTTGCGCTAATACTTTTATAATTCATCTCTAAAGTACAAAATATATATATACTCGTATATAACACTCGCACACACTAGTATGAGTGCCTCGTGGCACCAGTAAAAATGTTTTCGTACACTGCACCATCTATGTATATGTACCCCTTCGTTACAAAACCATGAGTGAAGAGAAACAAACAGAAAGGAACTTATGTATAAGAAGGTACTCCAAACATTTGAATAAAACAAGCGAGCTAGATAAGGTTGTGTGTGTGTGTCCGATCGCTGCGTTTTGATTTCCAGATTAATTTACAGCGACCGGATCAGTCAAAAGATGATCAAGTGGATAACTAGTATATGAAAAACAAACCGTAATCGTAACCATAAACAAATTTAACAACATCGTTTGTAAATATATTCGTTTTTCACCGGTTTGATGCGTAATAGAAGATAGACGTTAATATAGTTAGGTTTAAATTGACTGTTTTTGCAGTGCTGATAAAATTCTGCCCTTGACATTCCAATAATTACTCTTTGTACACAGTCGATTCGTGTGTCACGACGAAATGCAGCTGCCCGAGACGACGCATAGGCCGTCAGCATCTTAAAAATATATAATATTAATCAATGTTTTGCAGGTAGTTCACAGGAAGTATCTCGTTCACGGCGAGCGGCGCACAGCGGCGCCATAGTGTGTGAATCGTGACTAGAAGATCAACAATCGATCAGCGCGGGAAGACTGGCCGGCTCAGTAGCAATCAGAGTTTCTTGTCGAACAGCGGCAGCTTGGATCGCACGGCACCCTCACATACCACCAGCCGCGAGCATTTATTCCGTTGTGGTAACAAATGCGCGCTGGCAATCGTTGTGGCCGTAGGCATATTCGGCGGTCTTTCCAGCGTTTTCCTTGCGCGGGGATTCTGATGGTGTTGTTTGGATGACCGCCGTTCAAAATAATCCACAATAGTAGAAATATTCGGCTGGAGATCCTGCGCTGCCCAATCGGACCCAGCCACGCTCGATATGTCCTCGCTACTGTCGGTATAAATCGAAGAAGCGCGCTTACAAAGCGCGTGGAGTTCCGCTGGTTCTAACTCATCTAAAGATCGCAGTGAGCTAACAGCCGTACCGCTATCCCACAACGAACTGGGCGATAAACATTCACCCACTGATGAATAAAACCCTGATTCGCTAGAACCACGTCGCCGGAGCACACCGGCTGTGGGGTTTCAGTCACACCACACTCCGAAAGATTTGTGGATGAACCGGTACGAAAAAGGTCCCTTGTACCAGATTTTTGATTATTACTACCACCACACCCCGAGGTTTTACGCGTTGGTGTCGGTGAACCAGGGAGGGAACGCGGGGAATCCGAAGGTGCCAGATCATTGTCCAGCGGCGGTTGGAGTTCACAACACGACGAGAAATTACCGAGAAACTTTTTCACACCGCGAAACTGCGCGAGCGCCGCGAAGGGATTCGTCGTACGTGGTTTGTAGTGCGGGTCCTGATGGCACATGGTAATCGCATGACGACGCGCCTTCTCGCTGGGCGATGAATGTGCTGTTGATAAACAAAATGTCGAAACATCTTCACTGAATGATCTTCGATGCGATACTAAAATTAAAACACAATAAATTTTATATTTTAATAATAATTTTTAATAAAATCTTACTTTTCCTATGTGTTGCATTGGGTTGCGCAGCTAAAGCAGGTAATTGCTCCACGCTCTTCGCCGCAGCACAACCAGGAAGCCGCATCGCCGGCGGCGCCTCATTCAGGATCCGCGTCAGCAATGGATCAATCTCAGCAAAGAGCGGCCGTTTGCGCGGTTCGATAAAACAGCACTTGAACGCCAGCTCAAGAAACTCGGGGATGACGGACGACTCGCACATCTCCAGAAAGGCGAGGTAATCCAGACCAAAATTATCCGTCCGTGGCAACTGGTCCGGATCGGCTTCAACGCGCGCAATCAGTTCACACAGCACAATTCCATAGCTAAAGACATCCGAACTCTCATCATAATAGTGTCCTTTTAGGCACTCGGGCGAAATCCAATACGGGGAGCCAACCGTGCATAATTTTACGGATGAAGTGGGATCGGGGATGCGTGCGGCAAGCCCAAAATCACCCACGACGGCTATCTTTTCATCACAGTCAAGGAGTTTGATTAGGACGTTCTAAAAACAAAATTTATATTAAAATTTTATTATATAAGGGTGAAAGAAAAGGTTACACTTACTTTACTTGTCAGGTCCCGATGGAAAACCCCTTTCGAGTGCAGGTAGGTCATGCCGCGAGCGATATCGCGCGCCAGCGACACCCTGGACGGTTGTGGCAGTTCCACGGAGCGATTCTGGATGAGTTGTTCCAATGACCCGCCATTGATGTATTCAGTAAGCGCATGCAGCTGCCCCTCATGGACACAGGCGCCCATGAAGACCAAAATGTTCGGATGCGAGAGCTTGTTCATCAGCTCCACTTCCTTCAGCATATTGCGCCGATTCGAACGCAGTAGATTCATCTTCAGCACCATCACTTGACCTGTCACACGATGCGTAACCTGAAACAACAAAATTATTTAATATATTCACTTGTTTTCGTGTTTTAAATAACTTATTTATATAATTTAGACATAAAACTACACATTACATAAGATGACATAAAACTTCCCAAATCGATACCCGCAATTATCTGCCCCGTTTATGGCCGCCATTAAATGTGAGACAAAATAAACAGTCAATGTTTTTTGACAATTTCTTTCATCATTTACGACAAAACAACAAGAATTGGCCGCCATCCAAAGCCTTTAACATTGTCAACAACATTCTTGATTTTATTCACAAAAAACTCATTTTACGTGCGAATACATGAATTACACTTGATACAATAGCAGCAAATGTAAAAATCTCATGTGACGATCAATCTCCATCGTAAATTGTATGTCACAATGCTGAAAAATTCTTGTCGTAAGGCCAAGATATGCGACGAAATGAATTAACGCGTTCGGCGGAGCGTAGACGCCGTGGAAAACATTTGCGAGCGTCAACAGAAAGATGATTCACACTTCTTTCAATAAAATCAAAAATAACGCAGTGAATGTGATCATCAATAACGTAATTTGCAATAATAATAATAAAAATTGTTTTATTCGCGATTATTAAAATATTTAATATTTTATTTTACAATTTTAAGTTTATTTTGTGTTTTCCACGAAATTTACGGTAAATTTTGCGAAAACAGTGATTCCGTGTTGTTGGGCAGGTGTATAAATAGCAAAGAGGTGCATGCGGCACTCGGCGACGTGCCAGAGAGGCGAAAGGTGAGGGAATGCGCGTCCAGGCGCGCACATATCGCCGCTCCTCGCATTGCGAAACGCGGTGACAAAATGCCGCAAACGCATTAGGGTAATAAACATGCACGAATGCATTTTATTGTCCCCCAGGCGGGCCAAAAACTCAACTCAAGCTCAAGACACCCACGTTTAAATTTATAAAATGTATGTTTTATTAATACAAATGATATCTAATCAAACTTTCTTCCACCGGAAATGCGTGTCTGTTGCTGCTATAAATAACTATAAATAAATTCATGCTGTAAGTATAAATAATTTGTTTGCAGACATGATTTAATTTAACATTTAAAAATTCAATCCAGTGCGTGTGTATGTACACCCTGAATAATTTATGGTTTCGATGGTCCGTCCTCTGTCCAGATGGCACAAAGCCTTGGACTTCTTTCGAGCTTTGAGTCACTTCGTCGCCTTGCGCATGCCATACTTACTTACGAGCGCGCGCATCTGCGATATACTCGTAATAATATGTGCATTGCGCGCATATGTTCAATGCGTGTCCGAATATGTGTGACACATGAATATAGTTATCAACATTCAAGTTGGTGACGGGCGCATTCGGCCATCCTCTGCAATCAGCGCGCTTGTAATTGCATTTTTATGGCAACAATCGGTGATTTTTATCATTATGGAAAATGAGTAATCGACACAATAGGGCCAAGTATACTCATTGCAATGACATTGTTGAAGTAATTCCACATTAATTACGTCTTAAAATGTTTTATTTTTCGCATAAATTTTTTTCGTGTAGAAGATTGCTTAATCATGCAAATTTAATAATCCACAATTATATTATAACCGCATACGTATTATTACATGATCCGCTGCAAGAAAAAGAGTTTGCGCAGCGCGTTACGACAAAACGGACGAAATGATTATGATAATTATAAACAATTATAGATTACTGCACTTTTGCACACTTGCCCAACACTTGTTATTAATTTTTACCCAATGAAATTAATCGAGTCTGCGTTCCGTAACGTAGAAATCTACAAAGTGTGTTAAAAACTAACAAAAAAACAAAAACTTTTTAAAAATTTCAAAGATGCGCAACACAAAATGCACACAATTTCTACAACTCCAACAACATAACACCGCTGCTCTCATATTTACGTAACTCCACCGTTTCCATTCTATTCCGTACAGGCAACAACGCAAAAAACCACACAAAAATAAAGTGTAATAAAAAGTCTACACCGACACATTCGCAATATTCGTAGATTAGCACATGTTGACTTGATAGTTTAATTCATCCATTCACATCAAACATTCATTCATTCGGAATTCCTCCTTCCTTTTACAACTATTCAACACTACAAAACGTTTATAACATTTTTTCTGTTCTCTCAATTCCATTTGCATTCTTGTTATGCCAATCTCAGGTATGAGTACCGTTTGTGTCTAGTCAAGTCAAAAAAAACCGTCTAACATGTGCCGTCAATTCAAACCGTTTTCGTTTCGCAAAACAAACAAGGAAGGCAAATTACATTTGAGCGGCTCCCGCCGCAGTTCATTATAGCGTAAACGCGCAGTAATAAAACACGAAAAAAGTAAAACGCGCAACTTTCCCAGATTAATAAAAAACGCAGCGCCGTAGCAACAACAACATGTAAATCGAAACGATTATTAATGACAATGAAATTTATTCGCGTTTACAAACAAACGTAACGTAACGTCGAAATTCCTCACCGAAGAAACCACTTTCTTTTAGTAAATAGTGAATACTCGTAGTTTTATTTAATTATATGGAAAATAACAATTTATACAACAAAAACACGTTGGAAAAAAATAAAGCAGTTTCATTTACGTTTTAAATTGCGTATTGTAATTTTAACGAAAAAAAGAAGCCGTTAACTATCTCCGTTGGCAGGCAAATGTTGATTTTTGTGCTTTATTGCAATTATAATCGCATAATGGCATGGTTATACAAAGTGTTACGGTTACCAGCTGATAATTGACTTAACGGCTGATTGGTCTTGTTTGCTAACTGTCGATACAGCTTGCATTTCTTTTTTAGCGCAGGTATCGAATGTTGTTCACAAATACTAATATGATTATTCGTAATTGAAGCAAAGTACGTACATTTTAATTACCTGTTTGCTAGCTGTTAATTATTACGTAAATTATAATTGCCAATTCGATAAAAACTCAATTATTATTACCCGACGTGTTTGCAATCGGGCAATCAGTGCTAAAAATAAAATTCGCGCGTCGCAGAAATAATTGCAGACGAAATTAAATTTTAAATTAAACTGCATTGTCATCGCGTCTCACGTTTATACCAAGGAGAGACAATTTTAATTTATGATTCTCTTGATTACTAGCGTTTGCACGTGCAAAATCACAGAATTGTCTCACCTAGAAATAATAAACACGTAAATAAAACACAAGCATATTTGTGCTATTGTTATATTACATGTCAAAAATGGAACGTTGGTCGAGCGTCGCGTAATAAATTTCGCTTTTCGCATAGAATTTGGTACCAAGGTTTCGTTTGCCAGAGAATTCCTGCATTTTACGCCCATCTGCGTGAAAAATTAACTCTGCGCAAAATTTTATGATTCAACAGGCAACCAATAACACAAAACATAAAATAAGCACTTAAACTACATAAGTGTCTCACGTGCGGTTAGTTACCTACAATAAAAATTAAGTTATTTTAATAACATTTCAATTTTTCTCAGAACAATAAAGAGGTTTGTTTCGAAATACTTGATAATCAATTAATTAACTTAGAAGATTTCCCATGTTCTTACTTATTTGGAGGATAGCGGTAAAAGTGATTTGTGTTCAGGGCACCGTATGAGATGACGGTACAAATGGCTCGTGTTCGAGGCACCGCACAAGAGCAGCAGTAGAAGTGACTCAACTCAGCGCACCGTATGAGGCTAGCGGTAGAAGTGACTCCCATTCAGGGCACCGTACAAGGGTAGCGGTAGAAGTGACTCGTATTCAGAGCACCGTACAAGGATACCGGTAGAAGTGACTCGTATTCAGGGCACCGTACAAGGTTAGCGGTAGAAGTGACTCGTGTTCAGGGCACCGTATGAAGTTAGCGGTAGAAGTGACTTGATTCAGGGCACCGTACGAGGGCAGCGGTAGAAGTGACTCGTGTTCAGGGCACCATGCAAGGGCAGCGGTAGAAGTGACTCGTGTTCAGGGCAACGTACGTGGATGATTGAATAACTGACTCCCATTTGCCCATTTTTTCTTATGAATTAAAATTTCATCTCACAGATTTCCGTTTTAACTAGCCTATCTTATAGAAAATAGTCCGCAGATTAAAACCCCGCGATCAGATCTTAAATATCTCTTTTAGTTTACGAGATATTCGCGATTGAAAAAAATCGTCAAAAATTGCAAAATGTCACTTTTTAGCACTTTTAGTCGCGTTTTTCGACCTTTTACTGTAGGAAATATAATTATTTTATATTTTTATCTGATAGAGAATTTTCCAATCTTTCATAATCAATAATTCGTTGGTAGCTATCGCTTTTAGTTTAAGAGATATTAATTATCAAAAATCGTCGAAAAAAAGTATCAAGCACCCCCCCTTGGCAATTTTTTTCTTAAGGATGAAAATTTCATCTCTCAGATTTCCGTTTTAACTAGCCTATCTTATAGAAAATAGTCCGCAGATTAAAACCCCGCGATCAGGTCTTAAATACCTCTTTTAGTTTACGAGATATTCGCGATTGAAAAAAATCGTCAAAAATTGCAAAATGTCACTTTTTAGCACTTTTAGTCGCGTTTTTCGACCTTTTACTGTAGGAAATATAATTATTTTATATTTTTATCAGATAGAGAATTTCCCAATCTTTCATAATCAATAATTCGTTGGTAGCTAACGCTTTTAGTTTAAGAGATATTAATTATCAAAAATCGTCGAAAAAAAGTATCAAGCACCCCCCCTTGGCAATTTTTTTCTTAAGGATGAAAATTTCATCTCTCAGATTTCCGTTTTAACTAGCCTATCTTATAGAAAATAGTCCGCAGATTAAAACCCCGCGATCAGATCTTAAATATCTCTTTTAGTTTACGAGATATTCGCGATTGAAAAAAATCGTCAAAAATTGCAAAATGTCACTTTTTAGCACTTTCAGTCGCATTTTTCGACCTTTTACTGTAGGAAATATAATTATTTTATATTTTTATCTGATAGAGAATTTTCTAATCTTTCATAATCAATAATTCGTTGGTAGCTATCGTTT